ACGTTAACGTCATCAGACATGATCGATTTGAGGGTGGTTCTGTTATGGTGTAGGGGAGGCATCACTGTTGCTGGAAGAACGGCTTTACATGTTGTTGCAGGGCGTGTTACAGGCCAGTACTACCGGGACAACATCTTGGCAGTCCATGTTGTGCCGTTCGCACGACGTCATGGCCGCCGTTTCATCTTCCAGGATGACAACGCAAGATGTCACAGGGCCAGGATCGTTACAGGTTACCTCCAACAACAGAACATCACCACATTACCTTGGCCAGCACTGAGTCCCGACCTCTCCCCCATCGAGCATGTCTGGGACATGCTTGGACAGAGGTTACGTCAACGTCAACAACGTCCTGCCAATGTCCAAGAACTTGCTGCTGCGTTGCAACAGGAATGGGACAATCTGGACCAAAATGACCTTAGACGTCTCATTAGGAGTATGCCACGTCGGATCAATGCTTGTTTGGCAAACAGAGGAGGATTTACCCGTTACTGACTTGGTTGTGATGCTGTGGTAACTTTGCTGTTTGACCCCGGGTATCATTTTACCCTTTTAATGGTCAGTCTGTGCCTTACTTAGTCTAACGATCATTTGGAATAAATCGATGAATGTGAACTTCATTTCATTTTGTCATTTGTTTCTTCGTCAGTTTCATTAGGTGACTTTAATAACACTTAAAAATCAAATATCCCCTACTTTTTTTGAATAGTATATTTAATTTATGTCAGCACAAAAAGCACCGCGATTTTATTAAGAGGCCACTCCCGTTAAGCGGTCAGTTGTGAAAATTCCCTTGGGTGGCTGCTTAATGCAGATTCTACTGCAGATACCTTTGATCTTGTACGCAACTCAAAATGTGGGGGCCCGGGTTATTTTGTCCTTCTTTGACCATCGACCCCGGTAGTGGCTAGGCTGCCATTCTATGATAGAATATTAACACCACCCCCATGTATGTTTTAAACTCAATAAATGCTAAAATACATGGCAAATACAGTTTTAAAATTTACCCATTATTGTCTCCGCCACAATTGTGAACAATCCGCAATTTCGAGATCCAAATTTAGTCTTCACGACCATATATAACCCTCGAGCCCTAATCATTGTGATATTTCTCTGTTACGATATCAATAGAACAGCTTGAACTATCTAAAACTGGGTAACGATTTGGTCACTAAGTAAAGACAGTATGTTTGAACAACCTTAAATGTCAACAATGACGTAAGGTAAGCTATTCATACCATATATTTAATGTCCTTTGTGTCAAGGGTGGTTATTGCATCAAACTGTCTTCAACCTTTGGAACGGTATATTAAGTTCTAATACTTTTACGTATTGAATCATAGTTAAAGGAAACGTTAAAGATGTACATATAGGTGTAGAATGATTTCAGAAAATCACGTTTATCAGACAATGCAATTCTTGCATCAGAAATGAAATGAAATGGGGTTTAATGTCCTACTGTTCTGCTCCAAACTGGGCTAATGAAGATGGGCAGACGCCATACAGTGTGCTATGAGGGAAATATTGCCCGGACGGCGGCACTACGGCCTACTCATATATCGAATTCCAACTGTCAAGGGATCTTTTACGTGCATGCCAATGTGTACACGGGTCCTCGGTTTGTCCTCCCATCCGAAAGACTAGACAGCTGCCCTTGTCAGGCCCTCCGTCCTGCATCACTGACAAGGGGGAACCACGCCGGAAAATCTAGATGAACTTTCTCGGCCAATGCAGGGATCGAACACCAGACCTCCAGGCAAGCGAGCCAGCGTCTTACCCACTTAGCCACCATGACCCCCTCTTGCGCCAGAAAATGTCCCCGATTCCACCGTACTAATTTTAAGAAAACCACAAATAATGGAATTCAGCTAAAATATAACAAAACAAACCCCAATGCGAAAGTACTAAAACAAGTTCGTCAAATTGAGGTGATGAATAACTGATCCCGGCCACAAACGAAACTGCCCACAAGGGGAGAAGAGAAGGGGGAACACGTGTGGCGATTATGCCAACACGTGATGCTGGCTCTAAGGGGTAAACATTGTCAGCTATGTGAATTCCTGAAACTCCCCGGTCGTTCTAGAAAAAGTAAGCATATCCTGGCTTGTTTAATAAATAACTGGATCACTGGTTTTTGAAACAGTAAATGTAGGAGTCTTTTAAAAGCATGTTATAACTCTTTATAACGGTAAATCTCTTTGATCTTTGGGGTATATTCTATGCCCGGAATAAGTTGCGGTCTGAAAGTCGGGAGCGGCTTTGAATATACAGGGGTATTTGGGGTTAATGCTTCTGAAAGCTTTTCTTTAAACCTGTAACAGGTTATTCTTCCAGGGTAGGTTTTTTCCGTAATAAAACATGATATAAGGTTTTTACTGGAATTCTGGGATATTCTCATTTTACGTACATGTAAACACAGACGTTTTATATAAGTGTAGGATAAAGCACGAGACTGATGTTATGCTGGGGAAAAAAGACTTAAGAAAAAACCCTCGAAAGAGAAACCTCCGCCTTCCTTCCTCGGATTTTCTTTTTCTCGGGTTATTTTTTTCAGTCTTTCTTTCCCCAACATAACCTCAGTCTCGTACTTCATGCTACACGTAACAGTCTAATCAGTCGGTCTTCTGTTCAAGTGTTAATTAACTATCGCTCATTTAGAATCAAACTGATAGAATGTACATTTAGCTACTAATTACATATTATCACATTAACCTGTAATGATGATGACACCGACAAACTGTGATATATTACAGATAGATATTTAAAGATACATTATGGAAGATTAGATCAAGAGCCGGTAGTTCTCACTATAATAGTTAAAAACTAGATAATGTAAAGGGAATTTCCTGAAAATATCAGTCAAATTGATTCACTCTGAACCGAGATTTTAGCGATTTGATTTTTGGCCTAGCCTCGATCATCATTACTAAAGACGGTACGATAAAAAACATAGTGTCGATTATCCATTTCATGATTAAATCATGAATGAAAGTTGAGCAGCAATCTGATCGCAATCCAGTATAAATCGCCGGCTAGCGTTGGCATCGAGAATTGATTATGGTCTGGATAAGTTAATTAATGTCTAATTAATAATTAAGATAACATTTCAGGCCTAAAGAAAGACCTGCAATAGGCAGATTTAGCTCTTGCATAATGTATGTTTAATATATTTCGGAGAAAGAACTGAATTCTCACCATTGTCGGGACACAGAGAACCAATAGTTACGCGTTAACATCTGCTGTACTAACCTGTTAAATAGAAAAAATAATTATGAAATATTTACGCATATTGATAACATTGAAGTACCAATTAAGTTGATCACCTGTGAAACTGATGGTCATCTTTTATTGAATGTTTTACTGATATGTAAATAGGTCCTTATTACCGTTAGAGATATAATCAAATATATATTAAATTTGTTATCCGTTATCTTTCATCGACCTTGCATGGGAGGGGTAGGTTAGGTTAGAGGGCAATTTATAATGTAATTCACACTGCTTTGTCATTATTGGCCTAGCAAAAACTGATTGTTCAATTGAAAGTCATTGTAACTACTCTTGGGTTTTTTCTTTGAACTCTTGCCACAGGATATAGAGCAGTTCAATGTTAGGTAAGTACTGTACTGTATATTATCCATTGTTTACTTGTAAATAGAGTAAAGTAAAAATGATATGTGCTTAAAGGTGTGTTTTGGTATCAAAACGAAAAATGGATTTTGCCAAATACTTAAATCTGTATAAATTTTTATAAAACGCAGAGACTAATAAACGTTTATTAGGAGTTTGTATGGTATACACTTAAATACATACTACTACAAACTATCCCTGGCTAATATGTGCTCGCTACGATTTGGCTCACTTTTAATCCACATGCGAAAATTCGTAACATTCATTCACAAAATATTCACTGCATATCATTGTTCCTGTTGTGAGGGGGGGGGGGGGGGGGGGGATGGCCGAATGGTTAGCACGTGCGTGTTGTATCATAAAGCCTGTCATTGAGTCAACTGGCGTGGTTTCGAATCCCCGGTTGTACGTGACAAGGAGTGGGGTCGCCTGTCCAACCTCGTGGGTTTTCTCCGGGTCCTCCGGTTTCCTCCCACTGCTAAAAACCCCTACGCGCAAGCGAATTATTGAAATAAAAAAAATAAACCGTATGTTAGTCCCGAAATGACCCTAAATTGGTATTTGCGCTTTTGATATTTAAACGATAAGCGTACGATTCGCCTTTTAAAAATCTGTGAAACGACGAAACATGCCAACTCGCAAGTCGCAATCACACACATATAATTTCCAATCACACGTTTATATTTAGAACAGTTTGTCTTACAATTGAATATCAAACCCGCAAACATAGCGAAAAGGGCACTATTTTTTTTTTTTTTTTTTTTTAATAAACCCAGCGGATTGAATAGCAGTGCCATATTTGATTCATAATATATAAAACTAGTAATTTACATATTATTCTCTATGACAAACTGGGAATATAATTAGTTATAGAGCTCTTTCAGCATGTTAATGGAACCGTGGTGTAAACAGATGTCGGTGAATATCAGATACCCAGTGACTACCGTAAAGTGTAGTACATGTAGTTGTAACGTCACAAAGTCGGATATTACTGAAATTAAAAAGTGTTTTCGTGTGTAGGTTCACTGGATCATAACATATCTGATTGTTCGAATCAGCTTTGTGTGGAATTGGAGTATAATCTTTATAATCACACTGGCTTTAAACCCAGATCAATTATATGTTTCCCTCTATATTTAGGAGGGTTTTGGGTTTTTTTATAAATGCTCACAAGACAAACAAATCATTTATGCATGTGCTATATTAAATGCATCGAACCTTTCTTTTAATTGTCAATTCATGCCACAGTCTATAAGAAAAGGTTAACAGAAAATAAGATGAAAGACAGTATTGTAGTGTACGAGAAAGTCTTGTTTGATAACAGTGTCGATATCGCGCATAACCTATATGAAAAACAGCACTCACAGAATTGAACCTTGTCTATCTAAATCCGGGTCGTTAAAATCAGCTGATTGTTACTAATTTGAGATTGGTCGTCAAAAAGAAGACTTTAAAAAACGAACCTTGATTATTTGTGAATGATTTGAAGAACATTGAGACACTGGTATCAAAGGTAACGAATTAATAATGACTATTTATTTAATAATGTAAATGTATGTAGTGACATTGCGGTCACAAATCATTTATCGCATGATGTATCACTTCAACAAGGGAAGTTTTAAAGTATCGAATTAACTGTCAGTATGGCTATCATTTGTAGGGTTGTCGTGTAAATCAGTGTTTATCAATCCAAATCCATTTTGATCATTGTTATATAACATATATACTTTTAATCAACTCGGGGTCATTATCAGGGCATGTGTAATAATACGCCCTTATAAGAAAGGCGATGTTAGCTCCGGAAAACATTCTAAATTGAACCTTGGGCCACACTGCGTCTCAATAAGCAAATAATCAACGTTTATATTATGCAGTACTTGTTTTATTGCTGGAATATCATTATTTTTCCAGAAGATGCTAAACAAAAGTCGTTATTCAATTTTAAATTCTAAAAAGAAATAAGGACAATAAATATTATTATTATTATTGTATTAAAAATTTCTTAAGTTAAATATTCTCCTGATGTCACTGTCTGTGTAAGGGAAAAAATACCGCGGGATCTTCTCTCGAAATACAAATCTGTGGTGAATGGTAATTCTGACTTGGCTCTAGTTTCAATTTGTGTAATATGTCGAAACTGGAACTAGCATTTATCGAATTAATACTTCCAGTTGATGTTTTCTCTTGCTAATATCATTGGAATCCTAATTGCAGTAGTTGTGTATTAATACTAATTATTCTGCTGATAGTGACTTTGATCAGTAAAGGCCATCAATCGATTTAATCAATCCATAAAATCTATACTTTGATAGATGTTTAATAACTAAATGTGTATTTTTAATAGGAATAATGACATCGAGTTTCTATATATAACCGTTAAAAATAAATTATCTGTGTGATAAAGTTGATTAATGGGATATAATATGTATGTTGGCCCTTTTTCGTGTGTAATACGACCTTCAGATTAATTCAATATCTCGATATGCATGAATATTAGGCATAAATCTGCCCATCTGTACATGTTCTGTACATGTTCTGTACATCGACTAAGGTTTCCTAATGTGCTAATAGTTCCATGCGATGTTCTCTATTATCAAAGTATTCACAGGTAAGAAATAGCCTACCATGTTTTTATATTCATTTTTTTCAATTTTTCTTACCAAATCTATCACTGATAGCTATATTTATAGTTCAATGTATAGTATTTCTTCATTAAAGTGTATTTCAAATTTTAAACAACTTTTTGAGATTTCTAAATGGAGAATGACTGTATTTCTTTAAGGAAGTATCTTCAATATTTGTATTACGTCTTGAAGATACTAATGTAATGTAGGCACTTGATTGTATATATCACTTGAAATGATACAATTGGGCATTGTTTAAATATCCGAAATGGTGCATAGTTATCATTAATCAAATTTTTAGTCACTGAAAATTCTTCTGCTCCCTTCCTGTATTCACCCTCAGCGATATAATTAGTTAATGACTTGAAAACAAGAGCGGATCACTGGCAGTGGGGGCGCCAGGGGGGGGGGGCAAGGGGGTCTGCCCTCTGTTTGCCCCCCCCCTCCAATAATTTTAGAAAATAAAAAAAAGTATTTGTTATACGTTTCGGTAATCAATACCTTCTACGGTGAATAAATCCCACATCCCCACTCAGTCATAAACTTGCATGTTGTAGAGCATTTCCGACAGTCTATTTTTTAAAATTTTCTTGGCGAGGTCCCCAATGGACTCGCTACTTTGGCGCTCGCAGGGGGAATTCGTTGAGGTTATTAAGTCCGTTCGTTTGACATTTTGTTCTCTAGTCGGATAAACTTAGTGATCAGGCGACGGACGGTATCTGGTCAGACCTATTTATCTCGACGATCGGTGCCTGACAGAATACTGTAAGACAGCATTTCCGGCAGTCTATTTTTCAAAATTTTCTGGGGGAGGACTCCCTACTTTGACGCTCTTGAGTGGGCTTCGTCGTGATTCGTCGTGACACTTTACCTCATGGATCAGCGCCTGAAATACTTTCAGGCTGCATTTCCGGCAACCTGTTTTTCAAAATTTTCTGGGGGAGGCCCCTACCCCTAGTTGAAGCTCGTGCCTTTGCCCCCTTGACCTTGGACTTTGTCCAATAACCGACGGCTGGCGCCGCCACTGATCACTGGACGAGTCTACTATATGAACCATTAACCGACCATGACGTCACCACACCCGTCTTGGAATTGTGACGTCATATTAAATATCAAAGCCTGTAAATAATTGATGCACAACTGTCCAAAGGACAAACAGAAATAAAATGAAATGGAGTTTAACGTCCTACTGTTCTACTCCGACTGGGCTAATGAAGAAGGGCATACGTCAAACAGTGTGCTATGGGTGAAATTTTGACCGGACAGCGGCGCTACGGTCTACTCTTATATCGAATTCCAACTGCCAAGGGATCTGTTACGTGCACGTCAATGTGTACAAGGAACCTCGGTTTTTCGAATGAATAGACAGCCGTCGTTATCAGGCCCTCCGTCCTCCATATCTGACAAGTGGAAACCACGCCAGAAAAACCCGATGAAATGTCTCGGCCAACCCGCAACCTCCAGACTAGCGAGCCAGCGTCTTACTCTTGCTAAGAACAAACAGTCTAAGTTTCATGTCGATTGTACTGGTATTGGTGCAGACTTGGGCTTTTTTTAATGGCGTCGCGCCAAAAAAAAAATAAATAAATAAAAAAAATAAAAATAAAAACGTACTAATTTAATTTGACAAATGAATCAAATAAGACAGTTGTACCGTATGGGGAAATTGGAAATTAGTATTAATAAAGAGTTATCTAATATCTGTCAAAGGTTGATAATAACTGATACTATATTGTCAATACCACAATCCCATATGTATGAACACGCGTTGTTTAATAGGCGATTATAGGTTGACCCATTTGAGAACTCGTAGGCCAAATCAGGGTGACCCGTGCACTCTACAGAAAGTTGGTCTCGACACGGCTAAATGTGCACGCTTCAGTTGCGTGTCTCGAACTGATTTCTGACTTCCCCGCACTCGCTTTGAGTCGATAAATAGCCATGGCACGTGCAATTCTCTACAAATATATCAACTATTACAGCCGTAAAAAATCTATTGTTGACGATTTTGAATAGCAGTAAAATTTAGCTTCTTGGTTATTACAGCAGCTTTAGTAATTACGTTTGTTTTATTTTTTAAATTGCTTTATCATTAACTGTACCGTTAAGAGCAGCATCTTTTGGTTTAGTACAAATACTATCTCTGAATCACTCTCTTTAGCAGGAACATGATACTAGCAGTAGTTTCATTTTACTTTTACAAGTTTCTTAAAACAATTGTTGAGTTGTCTAAAGTGCTTATTTCTAAATTCAATTTCTTGTTCTAGCTTTCTGTTATGTTTCGTAAAAAAGTAGTCTTGATTATCCCGACCTGTCAATCAGACCTAGAATGGTCGATAGACTGGTTAAGCGAGACTAATTTCAAAACAAGGGCACGTAACCTATCTTTTACTCAAAAGTGTCTGGATGTTATGGACGCAACTTGGAACCAGTTTTCAGTCTATTATTTATAGATGATTAATGGTCATAGCTTATTAAGTACAACATGGTCGTTTATTTAGTGACTATAATTGTGTGAAACTGATTTGAGGCTTGGCATATATATAAATATTGTGGCGTAATTATCGAGATATTGGAGATATTTATTTATGGTGGGTCACCCTACGAAATTGCATATTATAGTGTTCGATGTCCTATTTACGTATACATGGTTCAAAATGTTTAAAGAGACCCCCACAATACTGAACTCCTTTTAAATGAATTTTGCGATTTGATTTGATGGTTAAGTATTTCGAGATTCATTACATAAATGATGAATTTACTAAATTCACGCGACTATCAATTTGGAATGAATGAAATGTGGTTTAACGTCCTACTTTTCTTCCTAACGTTAACCCTGCCCTTTCAGTTGCATACTACTGTCTAGTTTCCAACGTACACACACTTCCAAACGAATTCGAAACATGCGTCAGATTCCAGTTTTTCGTAGGAGTAGTTTATTTTTATTTTGATATGAGCAGTTATAGATATGATGTTATGAGAGACGTGTGTGAATACAAATTGTTTTTCTTTCTAAAACAACACACCATGTTAATTTTTGAGTCCCACGCATATAAAAATTTGAATTATTGTACACTGTATTTCAAAATCATCTTAGTTCATCTTTAAAGGTAACGTTGTGACAAAATTTGTAAAGAATAACACTACTCACGTACATATTATTATTGACTTACCCTGTACGATGTTTTATATTATGCAGTATTATATGAACCAGCAAATATCCGGTTAGACCCAGATGATGTTAGCTGACGACACACTTTGCTATCCACTTGAAACCTAATCGCAATATTTTTAAACTGGCAAAATGTTCAACAACACCATAGTCATACAAATAGTGAACCTAGATTTAGATATTGTCTTGGACAAAATATCATGCTGCAATCGACTCTATTACTATCGGAAAAGCTGTATACCTAAATACTGGTTATTAGCTGAACTAGTACCAGCTGTGCCATTACAGGCGCACATGCACCAAGCATTGTAATATAGGGGAAATTTAGCTAGGATAGTGGGGTCTTTAACGTGCTGATAATGCGAAACCAGGCTGGAAAATCCAGAGAATTTTTTTCAACTGACAACGGAATCGAAACCATGACACCCTGTTAATGGTACGTTTCCACTATCACGATTTGCGTTACGATTGAAATCGTGGTTTTAATCATAGAGTAATCGTTGTGATCCTATCATATATTATCATATACTGAAGTCATGGCGTAGCAATCGTGTTAATCGTATCGAAACGTGAGGCCCGTAGCTAGCCAAAAAATGTTGTGGGGCAAGAGCTTCTGGGGGCGCCGATGGGGCTTCTGTGGGCGGGGGATCACGTGGCTAAGTGGGTAAGACGCTAGCTCGCTAGCCTGGAGGTCGGGTGTTCGATCCCTGCATTGGCCGAGAAAGTTCATCCAGATTTTCCGGCGTGGTTCTCCCTTGTCAGTGATGCAGGACGGAGGGGCTGACAAGGAAAGCTATCTAGTCGTTCGGATGGGACGAACAACCGAGGTCCTGTGTACACATTGGCGTGCACGTAAAAGATCCCTTGGCAGTTGGAATTCGATATAAGAGTAGGCCGTAGTGCCGCTGTCCGGGCAAAATTTCCCTCATAGCACACTGTATGGCGTATGCCCGTCTTCATTAGCCCAGGTTCGGAGCAGAACAGTAGGACGTTAAACTCCATTTCATTTCATTTCATTTCTTCTGTTGGCGCCGATGTACCTACACTTGACGGTCCACGGCGAACGGGTGTTTTCCCCCCAGAAAATTTTGGAAAATAGGGTTTGCACCTGAGGCTGATTTTGTGATATTGGCGTAATATGATATTTTGTATGAACATTATCAAAATTTGAAGGAAGGAATACGACTTTAGCTTACTTATAATATTTTATGAAAAAAACGAAAAGTTGGGAATCGGGTTAGATTGAAGATTATCACGCCCGCCTGGCGCGGGGTTGAATTAATCTCATCCCCATCGTGAATTTGACTTGGAAAATTTCCTACAGTCTCCAGTTGGCTTTCTTATGGTAGATTTCGTCGTGGGCGGCCCACCAATCTCGGCATCATGGGCGGTCCTCCGGGATAAGGCACCCCACCAATCATGCCGTTTTGGGCGCCCCTTTGATCAAGTCATGGGCGCCCAAACAATCTCACTCGGCATTATGTATAATTTGAGGCCCGACAATCATAGACATTTATTGTCATTATAAGGCGCCCCACCCACCACACAGATCACGTTGTTTTGGGTGCCCCATCAATCAAGTTGTGGTGTTGTTAATCGTGTGATTCATTATGACGCGCCCCGCCATTTGGGGGCGCCTCATATATAACATGATTGGCGAGGCGCCCATAAAACCAAGTGACATTGGTTGGGCGCCCCGCCAATCTCGTCATGGGCTCCCAACCAATGAAATTAAGCTTATGGGGCGCCCATACTAATATGGGCACGTTAGTCGTTGGCTGCGTATTGCGTCCAATTACCAATCCTATCGTAACGCATCGCACGACAGTGGGAACTTAGCATTAGCGATTCAGCCGCACCATTAATTGACTGGACGTCAAACACATTAATTTACTTTACCTGGATTCCAGATAATACAGTTCTACTTTCATATAATTATCACCAATCAGTGATATTGATTTCATTTTTAATCCGTAATTCTTAACTTCATAATGCCAAATGCTCCATCTACATAAAATAGAAAATCGGCATTATTTTTATTAAAAAAAACCCAAACAAACAAGAAAAAAGGAAGGGAGATCAGTCGTGAAAGAACCTTTGTATTAATCATTTTGTATAATAATATGTATAAATGTATATTTAATGTATATTCTGCTGTATATAAAGTAATATGGAACTGAGTTTGATTTGGACTTGTGTTCAGCGACCACCGTAAAGGGGCTACACCGACCCTACGCAAAGATTTATTCATCACGAAATATGACATACTGTGCTGTCTATTTTCATCGCCATTTTAAAAACTAAATCGATATGTAATGTTATTAACTGGTGTCACGGTGACCATGTCATGACCCCCATTGTGTAGCCTTAAATCACATCAGCTGCCAGAACACCGGTCTCTATCTAATTAATATATTCTCGTTGATTAGCGCAAGCAATCATATTGATCGGACGGAGCAGTAACAACCACGTTGATGGGAGATGCAGAATCGTTAAGAGTAGATACATGTAGTTAGTTACTAACGAGGGTCTATAAAGAACATGGAGGTAAATGTCATGGAATGGATTCGTTACACGAAATTTATTTGTGCCTAGATTAAGGTATTTTATGATTATGTCACCTGTTTTAAAATCCATGCATGTGTCATTTTATTAACTATTATAAATCTCACGATTATAGGATATAATTATAATATAGGATATACTGTGTCAATAGTTCACATGTTCTTGTATTTATCGTGATAATAAACCACAAGGAGAAACGATATTAACTATGTTATTGTTGTTATCAACAATTAAACCATGAACTTTAGTCTTGCAAGAAAATAAGGTAATTTCTCTAAATATTTAAAATGGAAATTCATTGTAATTATAAAGTCGATTTTCTTTTTTGTTCTACTTCCTTTGTCTGTACACCATAATGACGATTGACCTGCGGGCCCAGTTTAGTCTTTTTTCAAACAAAGACTCAGCACTGTGTGTCTTAATATTATATTCTTAGTAGTATTAAAGTACATAATGTTGCTATAGAATCTGTTCATTTATTCCGCTCTGACGTAGACTACTATGTCATCTCCCGGTTATGACTTTCATTAAAATAATATGTCCCGGTTTACTTTAGCCACACGACATCTTACATTTTTTAACAATTTTATCGAAGTGTAAAAACGATGCAATGTATTACACATGTAACTCATGCTTTTGCCTTGCACCCGGTTATCATCATGTGTTACTTGGCGGCCGTCTGGATTCTTTAAAACCGGTTTCCACTTGTCTGGGGTATGTTGTGTTGATTGACACGCAACTGTCGTTTACGTAGGCTAAAAATAAAATAATTAGTGTTCACATTAGTGTATTACTGTGCAGATACAAAACCCCTTGGGTTCTCGAATACGAAGATCCCCCGTCTCCATTCCAACACACCCTTACCATTGCACACTTTGTCGTAGTATACAACGACACGTTAGTCTCAAAATTATCTAAATGTTATGTTGACGAGACTTTAAACCCCATTCTTTTGTTGACTAATAACCACAATTTAAATTTATATCAAATACTTCTATACTTAAAGATACATTATGGGAGATTCGGTAACGAGTTGTCAGTTCTCACTATAATAGTTAAAAACTAGATAATGTAAAGCTAATTTGCTGAAAATTTCATTCAAGTTGATCCACTATGAACCGAGGACTGAGCGACTGAAATTTCCCCCTAGTCTCGGTCATCATCACTAAAGTCAGTACAATAAACAGCATAGTCTCGATTATCCATTTAATCGTTAAATCGAGAAGGAAAGTTATGCAGTAAATCGGCTCACAATCCACGAAAGATCGCAGGCTAGCGCTGCCATCTAGAGTCAATTATGGCCTGGATAGGTTAATTAATGTCTAATTAATAATTTAGATAACATTTCAGGTCTAAAGAAAGACCTTCAATAGACAGATTTAGCTCTTGCATAATGTATGTTTAATTTATAGTCTCTAGATCCAAGGCACGGAATAACTAATCAGTAGTTACAAGTTCGATCGCGGTGGTGACCAAGTAAGTTCTACGGGATATGTCAGTGGGTCATAAAAACTTTTTCAAATTCTCATTTCATTTATTACACACATTTATCTTTTTTTTGTTTTATTAACAGTGGCGCAAAGATGGATGACCAAAATATTAAAGAAGGGGCACAGCAAAGAGAAGTTTGTGAGAAGAAGAAAAAACGATCTGCTGTTGACGGGGGTTATGGCTGGGTAGTAGTAGGAGGTAATATTATATAAGATAGACTTTTGATTGCCAGGGCAGTGACGGTGATTTCGTTATTGCATCCCACTGAAGGAGCTAAATCGCTATTCTTTTGCACCCAGAAATGGACACAAATGAATCGCAACGCATATAATAATTTATTATGAATGTATATAAAGTGATTTACATGCAATCTTTTCTGTTTTTACTGTAATTTTTAATCAGTTATGTTCGGCGAAATATGCGAAAAGTTCAAATTTAATGACAGTTTTGACGTCTGGTTATTCCAGTCTACACCGGCAGAATTCTCCTGTGGGGTATGTTTAGCCTCGTTCATCGAGTCGCTTCATTACAAATGGTGCTCAAAGCATTCTGACACGCGATTCGTGGGCCAATTTTTAAATTTTTATTTTGTCTAAAATATTGGATATCAGAAGCCCGTCTGTTCACGGTAAGATAATAACATCAATGCTGATTTAAATTGACCCATAGGTCGTGTTTACAATGTCGAAGACTGTGAATGATATTTGTTATGATTTCGGATATTGTTTGGGTTTGGTGTATCCAAAGAAAGATTCTGTAACAATTAACATTGTATTCAGGTTCTAAAGGTTCAGACAGTTATATGCGAAAAACAAACACCTCATCTTCCTGTTACATTTCATTAATTCTTTTTCGTTTTTGTGTTTTATGTTTAGATTGGATCTCTTCGCTGGGAATATGCCAGTGGGAAGCTATTGTAGACTGGGTTGCCATAGTAATTCATATTTTCTTTATTAAGCTAACAAGGTGTACATCGATTCAAATTAACGACCAGCGAACATTTTTTTTTTTTTTGTTTTTTTTTTTTTTTTTAAGAAATGTTCTTTCCGTTTTATTCAAATAATCTGATAACATGTGGCTTCATTTATAGTATAATATGATAATAAAAAGTGCTATAATAAAGGATTGATGAGCCGCGATGGCTCAGTTGTAAAAGGCGCTGGCTCGCAAACCATGAGGTCTCAGATTCTTCGGGATTTCACCCGAGTGGTTCCCCCCTTTGACAGATGGAAGTAAAAGAAATTCCTCATAGCCCGATACGTGGAGAAACGTGGGACGTTAAATCCCATGTCATTTCATTACTTAAAAGGATCGAGAGAAGATAGCGAATGAAAAGGACACTCTCTACCACGATTTTTAATTTATGTACAGTAAATGCGTAGGGATTATAAAAAAATTAATGATTTAATTATTCAGTGGACGACTGTTTAAATCCAAGCTATATCCACGTCATCCGAGGGTCTACAGAGTTGATTTGGGGCTTGCTATGTAAATAAAGGTCTATTTAATAATTTCTATAACATTTATAGCCTATAGAAAGACTTGCAATAGGCATAGGCATGTATCTTTAAGTAATTTTACTAAGAATTATAAAATCTGGGTAGCAAAAGCAGTTGTTCATATCTTCATCATGTGATCATTTTTTTTATTTATTTATTTATTTTTTTGTAGCATGTTTTGTCGTCCATATGTTTCAAGTGGGTTATTTACGTGCTTTTGGTTTATTGTTTGTAAAGTTTTTGGAAGAGTTTAAAGCACCTGCATCTGTAACATCAACTATAATGGGTGTACAGTCCGCCATATTTAGCTTAACGTGTAAGTATATGTAGGGGCCTATCTGTTTCCAAAACAAGGTGGTCCCCATATTGCCCTTTTGGTTTAATTTAAAAATGGGCATTATGCAAAATAGTTAAAATTTATGTTGTATAAATTGTTGTTTAGACATTTATTCATATTATCCCGACAATGATACTTGACAATCGAGACCATGTAGGCTATTTCTTATTTAAATAGGGAGCCACGGTGGCAAAGTCGTGTGTTCGATCCCTGCATTGGTCGAGAATGTTCATCGGGATCCGACGTGGTTTTCCCCTTGTCAGTAGTGCAGGACGGAGGGCCTGACAAGGACAGTTGTCTACTCGTTCGGATGGTACAAATAAACGAGGTCACGTGTATACCATGAAGTGCACGAAAAAGATCCCTTTGCAGTTGGAATTCAATATAAGAGTAGGCCATAGTACCGCTGCCCGGGCAAAACTTCATAGCACACTTTATGGCGTATGACCGTCTTCATTAGCCCAGCCGAACAGTAGGACGTTAAACCCCATTTCATTTCATTTTATATATTTTATATATTTAAATTATTATAGCAAATACGACTGTCTCTTTAATTAATCTTACCAATGCATTGAATGATTTTGAGACGACCGTTTGTTTATATTACGTTATTTCTATTGCAGCTTTATTGGTACTGAATGTGTTTATAGAATACTGGTCTATAAGGGGCTATGCTATGTTGGGTAGTGCTGTGACAGCAATCGGTGTTACCATAAGTTGTTTCGCCCCAAATGTTGAATATCTGATCTTCTCACAGAGTATGTTTATAGGCAGGTATTAGACATAACACATATTCTCGGTTACTAGTGTTAACAAGGGCCGGACTAAACAAATAAACCTAGTTAAACAACAAACTGAAGCTGTGTCACGTGAAAACATTTCTGCACCGACCGGCCCATGCTGTGTGCTACGAGAGAAATGTTGCCCGGACAGCGGCGCTACGGTCTACTCTTATTTCAAATTCTTACTGCCAAGGGTTCTTTTATGTGCACGCCAATGTATATATATATATATATATATATATATACGGACCTAACGACTATTAAGTGTCATTTACGTGCACGCCAGCATCTGAATGACTAGACGCTGTTCCTTGCAAGACATTCACAAGGGGAAGCCACACCGGAAAATCCTGGATAAGTTTCTCGGTCAAAACCGTGATCAAACCCGGGACGAACTGATTAACGAGCCAGCCCGTTACTTCTCAGCCACCCCCACCCCACACTCGCACACATCCACACCCACACCCACAAAGACAGGTTCTGCGATGAGTCTTAAGGAAGGGTCACACCACCCAACTTCGTTAAGTTTATAACGCTACTTAGCTGTACATGTAATAACAATTTATGATAACACAATGTCGGACATTTGTATTCCCATGGTAACAAATGGATTTACAAATTGGTAGGTCTATACAAGGACGAGGGATGTTGTACTTGGTTTTAAACTTTGTTTCTTCTTTTCAGGTATTGGAAATGCCTTTTCGTATGGACCGGGCATTGTATTGATAGGACGATACTTCAAGAAACGTTTGGCATTAGCTAACTCAATTGCCAATGCTGGCGTTAGTGCCGGAGCTGTGGTGATGCCAATACTGATATCTTACTTACTAGAAGAGTACGGTTTGCGAGGAAGTCTTATTGTGTTAGGTGGTGTTATGTCTCAGGTAATTGTGTGTGCTGCATTGTACAGATCCCCAGAACAGTCAACTGACCCAGATGAAAATCTAAAGGTTAATCCCGCGGATTTCAAAAGCTTGGAGTCGTTTTACAACCTTGGTGAATATGCTTCTTCAAAGCTAGACATGCGACAGGACAGTGTTAACAGTGATGCCGATACGGACTTCCGGGATAGGGTGAATTCTAACACTCCAAAAATAATTACTAATAAATTCTTGTTTCGAGAGAGAGCATACTCTAACAGATCAGATAAGGTACATTCGGAGAGTACACCAAATCCTACAGAACTAATGAATAAACACATTTTAAGAAACCAATCAGTAGAAAACGGAAATTCTGTCAACAACAGAAAGCGATTCATTTCCGAAAGTAATCATGCAATAACCACTGATATTATTGAGTCGTTATCCCGATCCAAGATGTTGATGTATGCCAGTGATCCTAACTTAGTGTACGCATCCGTGTTGGACTTGAAGCAAGGAAATAAGCACGCCCAAACAACCGCGGAAGAAAAACCTAAGACAAGCTTTTTATCCAAACTTAAGAACATTTTAGATCTGTCTTTATTCAAAAATTCCATGTTTTGGATTGCAGCTGGTTTCACGCCTTTAGCGATGTGTGGTGCAGCATTGGCAGGGGCCTTTATACCAGCTCTGGCTGGGGAAATAGGTTTAAACGACAGTCAGGCTTCTCTACTATTAACAGTTAGTGGAGCTATAGATATAGTGAGTCGTCTGGTACCAGGAATCCTTTCTGAATTTAAGATCCTTAAAAAACAATACATGGTTATAATAGCTCTCTCAATACTAGGAATCGTCTTTCAATTTTCGTCATATTTTGATAATTTTGTGTTATTAATGGTATTCTCGTCTATATATGGCCTATTTGGAGGTGTATATTTTTCCTTGTTAGCAGTCATTATTATTGACTTGCTGGGGTTTGAAAATTTTCCCAAGGCGTTTGGTTTTGTACAAGTGATTCATGGTGCGGCAGCTGCTATATGTTATCCACTATTAGGTGAGTAGAAATAGATATTAAAAAATACATATTTAAAGCGGCTTATATTAGCAACGACAATTATGTAGATCTGTACATTAACCTGATTCCCTTTATGTCTAGTCACTCGGATGGGACAAAAGCCGAGGTCACGTGAATATATTGGCGAGCACAATAAAACAACACTTGGTAGTAAGAATTTGAACTAAGAGTAGCCTAGGCCCTCATGGAGCACTCTTATATAGGTGTATCCTTTTCTTCCATTAGTCCGTTCGGTGCAGAACACTGGGACTTTAAATCCCATTTTATTTCATATCTTGTTCGATCCCTGCATTGGCCGAGAAAGTTCATCCAGATTTTCCGGCGTGGTTTCCCATTGTCAGTGATGCAGGACGGAAGGCCTGACAAGACGAAAACCGAGGTCCCGTGTATATATTGGAATGCACGTAAAAGATCCCCTGGCAGGTGGAATTCGATATAAGAGAGGCGATAGTGCCGCTGCCCGGGCAAAATTTCCCTCATAGCACACTGTATGGCGTATGCCCGTCTTCATTAGCCCAGTATAGGAGCAGAACTGTAGGACGTTAAACCCCATTTCATTTCATTTCATTTTTATTTCATATCTAAACCTGATAACACACAATAACACGCATCTGAAAAAAATGATGTTTCTCCTAGGTCAAGTATACGTTTTTAGATATGTTATGTTTTATGAAAAAATAATGTGAAACTAGAGCTATGAATGTTGGAATATATATATGTGTTAGAGAGACAGAGAGAAATGGGGTTTAACGTCCACTCGACACAAACTAGGTCATTTCAGGACTAACATATGGTTTAATTTTATTTTAGCAGTGGGAGGAAACCAGAGGACCCGGAGAAAACCCACGAAGTTGGACAGGCGATCCTACTCCTTGTCGCGTACAACCGGGGATTCGAAACCACGCCAGTTGACTCAATGATTGGCCTTATGATACAGCACGCACGTGCTATCCATTCGGCCATTCAACCCCCCGTATGTGTTAGAACATGTTATGATAGGAACCTCAGAGTTAAAGTGACCCCATCCCCATTTTATTAGGCGACAAGTGTCCCATATTTTACATAGCTCAGAACTTGGCTTCACTAATTAGGCCAAAAGCAAAAGTTTCGATTTTAAGCCGTCATATTCCTGAACACCATTAAACATTTCCCTTATTTAAATTCAGCCAAGATAAGGACTCAAGGGTGTTTTGGATCCCAAGCAATACTTGGGGACGTCGCTCTACGATCAACATGCATTTGTTCCTGGCCAATCTGCTTAAAACACAGATCCTATTCCATTTAGTTTTTTTTACAGTTCAAAATTTCGTTTTATTTATAAGAAAATAAAAATGTTAACTATTATAATATGTTCAAGTTAATTCTTTTTCAGGTTTATTGAAGGACTTGACTGGTACTTACAATACATGTTTCCGATTTTTAGGAGCATGTATGTTGGGTGCATCTATTATCCTAGCATTAGAACCAATAGCAAGACGCAGGCATAATGCAAAACAGAAAGAAAGCAACAAAACGGAATACAGTAAAATTCCTTTAAATGAACCAAAACAAACGGAATTTAATCCGGATGTATGAAAGTCTTGAAATGTATGATTATTAGTTAATTTTAGTCAGGAAGGCAGAAAATGCTTGATTTTAGCCAAAGATGGACGGTGCCTTAGGGCAAGGTGCGATGGGTGTTAAAGTTTTTATCGTCTACCAAATCCACGGTATAGTATTATCCTCGTGTGTAACCAGAGTGCAGCACTACCTTTTCCCATTAATTATGTTATTTAAAAACTTCAGTTATTTAGTTGTCCGGTATTGTACTATTGAGGGGGGGGGGGGGCGCCGATTTTTCCAGGGGGTCGCAGCTGCCCCTTGCCCCACCCGCTAGCTACGTGCCTGGTATAGTCAGACAGTTGTGCTCAGAGTGCCTCCCCTGTGAATGGAACCAGGGGTTAGTGGAGTAGAACGGAACTATACCACTGGGGATACCGAGGATGAACATTCAAGGGTCAAGTTTGTGTATCGAGCACCCCTTTCTACTCAAGTGATTTATATTATTTCCATTCTTATATATGTACTAATTTTGAATTTTCCATGAAACTGACTTTCATTTAATCATAATTATAATTTAATCAAATATAATTATAAAAAAACACAAATATGTGCTATATTATGTATAATCTACTGTATAACGAAATGAAAATCGGGAGCCACGGGGGATCAGTTTTTAAGGTTCTGGTTCGTATTATGTCGATGTACGTACATGTATGTTAAATGTATATTGTCCGTCCTAAAGTGTCTCAACGTTTCTACTATGTACATATATATAAAAAAATTTTCACCAATCCTTTCACTCATTCTGCAAATCACTTTTGTATATAGCCTATAACTGTGTATGTATACATAAGAAGGCTCGGTAGTCGTAATTCAACGAAGAGTAGCCAGAAACGCCTCCGTCCTGACAACTTTTACCTTACAACACACTGCATGGCGTATGCCCGACTTTATTATACACATTTCATTTCATGAACCAGGAAATGATACAAAGGCAGACCAGCAGCTTCGTAGTATGGGAAGCAAGAGCGGTCTTGTCTTTAACCCCATTATGCTTGTATGCTAAAAACAGGGGTGGATCTAGGAATTTTGAAAAGGGGGGGGGGGGCGCTGCAAAATGAAGGCATTGACCGCGGAGACGGGGCACGCCGCTTTGGGGGGGGGGGGGGTCCCAAGAAAATTATCCGTCATTTCCTTGCATCTGTAGCCATTCCAAGAGCTATTTCCCAGACTTGTGTGTTTGAGTCGATGGAACTTGATAAACATCTTCGTTGCAATTCTTATAAATGTGAAATAATCTTGTTCGGTGATTTTCATTAAAAAATATTCATTTTTTTTTAATATTTTTTTTTATAAATATTAAACAATAACACATATTTTAGAAATAAGTCTAAATATTTGAATAAATCTTTGGTATATATAGTTGTTTGTTATTATAAAACATATACTATTTAATTCGGAAATGATACAGCATAGGCCTAATGTGAGGACGGAGGCAGGGAGGGTGGGGCTCGCAAATTCATCAACAAGGGAGGTCGTAAATACACAAGCTTTTGTTTTCATAAAATAAGTCATAATGCCAACCATTTCTGTTCCTATCCACAGGTGCTTGTAAAAATGGCCCTTTTTAAGGTTTTGAAACTGAGGGGGCAAGATAAGGGAGGCGGGTCCTGGGGTCTTCCACCGCGAAAATATTGAAATTTTGACCCTCTAAATTACCAATCATGCCTCCGCGATTTGAAGATTTTAGCTTCACTGGGGGGGGGGGGGGGCTAAAATTTTGAGTACGGGGCATCTTAATTTGACCTTAAAAATGGCCTGTTGTAAAAAGGATTCTTTTTCAGAAAAAAGTATGTGCTTAAAGTCTGTTACTGTCATGGTTAACTGGGGATAAAGGGAAATAATCAAATTTACGGGTAAATACCTCGTCAAAAACGATGCAGACCACAAAACATCCTCCCATTGACTTGAATGTTAATTCCTCTTGCTTCAAAGCTTGTACAAGGTTGACCATTAACATTTGAGATACACAAATTTGAAATATCCACATATTGGTACATATCACCAAACCAATCTCTTAGCTGTTATCATTCAGTCTCTAAACCATGAATCTTCACCAAAGGCCCCTCTGAGAAAGAGTTACATGGAGAAAGAGTGAGTGGAGTGTAAATCGAAGGACTACTTGGGTAAAGTGATCTGCCTCCAGACTTCTCAATTAGTCCATATCTACTGAGGTAGGAAGCAAAAGATATACACCATCTTCTTTTCTATTAAATTTTCTCCTCCAATACAACTCTTATTCGGCTAACAAATATTTCCTTTTCTGTTATCTGGGTTCATTGTATTTTTTATCTTCCCAGAAAAAGGTACTGGCTTGAAAAATCTCAGTACACACTGGGATTCAAACACAGGAATATTTAAAGGAGATAAATCGCTAATATTTGGGACCTAGAAATTGACACAAGTGGGTCGCAACTCATATAATACCGTAATATGAATGTATATAAACTGATTTACATTCAATCGTTTCCGTTTTTACTCTAATTTCAAAACAGTTATGTTCCGTGAAATAAGCCAGCAGTCTCAATCGAGTGCAAATTCCTACCGTCTGGTTATTCCAGTCTACATAAGCCGTTTGGTTTGGTGCAATATGTATAGCCTCGTTCCTCTAGTCTCTTGCTAGAACTGGGGCTGAAACGCATTATGGTACACGATTCGTGTACCAATGGTAAAATATTTATTTTGTCTTAAATATTGGATATCAGAAGCCCACCCTTTTCCGGTAAGATCACAGCATCAATGTTGTTTTAAATTGACAAATAATTCGTGTTTTAAATGTTGAAGATTTTTGATGATATTGAGTTAGAGACTTAGCTCCTTTAATTTAGTGCCCTTACGATTATGAAACGAAGAAACAAAAGTTGTGACCAATGATAAGAATTATTTATTGCAACAATATGGTTAAAAGCAGTAATTAATTGACGTAAAAAGTAAAACAAGCAATTCTAAATACTGTAACATATATTTACATTATTTTGTACTTGTATGTAACATTAGTTCAGAAAGACAGACATATATTCAATCAATTAATCAATCATGTTAACTAATTACTTGGTAATTAATTACATATGGTAAAAAAGAAAATTACAGAGAAAACAGAACAAAATTAACATGACTTTCCTTAATAAGAAAAGCTAATAGTAATTAATGAAAATGTTTGACAAGAGTACAACAACGTCTATTAAAATAACAGTGTGGTGTAAATATCCAAATTACAAAGTAAGGTTGCCAGGCAATGACCATACTCCCACAGCAGCTATGTCGTCTGAGCAGTTCACGAGGCAACATCTTTAGACGGTATAATATCATTGCTGAAATTCAATAGGCTTCTCGGTTTCACAAATTTAAATAACGCACATAAATTTCTTACAGATTGGATGATAAATTTTGTCACTGCAACACTCCACAAAGTTTAACACAATCAATAACTCGAGAAGTAATTAACGGAAATCGTTGAAGTTCAATATATATAATATATATAAATGTTAAGACCAGATGAAAAATGTAGTCTGAAGAGTGTTTACAAGAAATTGTGGAGGACCGGTAGACGACAAACAATATAAGATCACATTTCCATGTGGGCGTATAAAAACAATTCATCCTTGTATGTCTTGACTTTATTACAGTATTTACGAATATCTACTTTCACTTTCATTGCTGCAACTAATTTCTGAATTTTCAGTCAGTTTGTTACTACTATGGTTAAATATATCACATTATTAGAAATCGGACATGATTGTTGAGTAATAAAGATAAGCATATTATATATACAGCCACCCAGATCTAAGAGTATACAACTGGTTATATACATATATAAATCATATTATACAACAAATACATAGGTAAACAGACACAGGTCAGAAAAAGTTAAACACATCCTAAATCTGGAACCATTGGTAAAAATAACTTGTAGTATGAAGGAAATTAACTTACTTTCCAAGAGGAAATCATTCAGGACATCAACAAATCAGAAACATTTGGTAAATATTAAAATAGATGGAAATTAAGTAATTTTCCTTAAGAAAAACAAATTAAATTCTTTGTTTGGCTCCATCGATGTGTACACTTGGGAAGGTTATTATAATATCATTCATATTGTGATAGATCAATATTTCTTATTACCAGATACCAGTAATTCTTATTACCAGATACCAGTAATAATGTATAGACTGCTAGAGGTTATGTCAACCACTATAAGACTTTGAAGATAGATAATTAAATATATTGTTAGACATAAGAATTCTATTTAGAAACCCCCAAAATCATTATGTTTTCTACATTCTAAAACTGATTTTTGTATATTTATACTACTACAATCAGTTATTTATTTATCACTAGTCTACATGTATAATAATATCAATGTTTCAAGTAGGTCCGTTTTTATATGTACACTATTTCATACTTAATATAAAAGTCTTACAGTCAATGATAAAAATAGTAATTTTCAATGATATCTAACCTAACTGCATTAAGTTTCAATTTTTAATAATAATTTAAAAGTTAGTATGAATGTGAATGCTGATTTACATTTGTGACTTAAAATGAACTTAAAATACAGATGACATCAACCTCTGATGTAGGGGCTCTATTATTTCAAATAACAGGCCAATTTTACATTATTTATATAAGATGGCAGAAATATTGACCTCATGTGACAATTTCATAGAAATGCACATGCGGGATAGTGTATCTGTATTTTAAGTTGTTCAAAGGTCTCCAGCAAAACAATGCATAATATATTCAAACAACACTCAGGCTGATGCCCTCGTGCAATATCAATGTTACTTATTGTCTCTCTCTCTCTCTCTCAACCTTTAAACCACATATATTATACATGTGACCTGTAATAAAAATTTGGGACAAACAGTGATAATACTAAGAAAACAAAATTGACTTTAACAGATGGATAGTATATTAATACTGATTACTAAATATAGCCATCATACTTTATATATCAATTTCAGCAATCCATGATTGACCATACCTACTGAATAAGTAATTAATGATATTCAAATTATCATTTCATTGTCTAATTACTTTTGTAAATTTTATGGTATATCGATTTCAGCAATCCATGATTAGCCATACCTACTGAATAAGTAATTCAGGATATTCATATTATCATTTCATTGTCTAATTATGTTTGTAAATTTTATGGTAGATTGTTTGTGACCAAGATGGATGACTTTTTATGTAGACGTAGAGGTCAAATTCCACATATGGTAGGTGTGTAAAACAGCCGCAGCAATGGTTGATCTTTATTTTCATATTGTTTAATGATCCAGCAAATATAAAATATTCAACTGGTGATAATTAGGACAGAAACTACAATAAGACAGTATTATGGTGGTAAGGTGGCTGAATGATTCTATGGTTGGTCTTTGAGTCAAGTGGCATGGTTTCGATCCCATACTTGTACATAACTGGAAGTAGGATCACCAGCCTAACCTAGTAAATTTTCTCCCACTGCTAAAGACCCCTATGCGCAAGTGAATAATCGAAATAAAATTGAACCATATGTTAATCCCGAAATGACCTAGACTGGGTCAAGTGGACAATTAACCCCCTGTCTATCTTTCAAAAGTATAACTGAATTTAGGTAATTATATGATGACTATATTTCAAAAGATACAAATAATATGTATAAATAATTGGAAAAGAAATGACAAAATATTAATGTTAATTCAACAACTCAACTAATTAATCAATCTTTAACTATAAAAAGATAGGCATTATTATTTTTGCACTGTTAAAATCCAAAATGTATCATAAATCTTTAACAACATTTCACAAATGATATGTACTTCATCAAAATACCTAATACCCTTCTATAGATAAAATTAACAAAATGTAAATAACAATGTTAAATATACTGTAAATAGGTTTTTTTTAACTTCATTATCTTTTATTAATTTAATATGCTTTGTATAAAATTTTCCATTTGAATTCAAGCCAGGAAAGTTTATCTTTTGTTTTCTTCAAGCGGCATTATGGAAAGATTAGATGAAGAGCTGACAGCTCTCGCTATAGTAGTAACAAAATAGATAATGAAAACAGAATATGCTGAAAATTTCAGTCAAATTACTTCACTCTGAACCAAGATATGAGCCTCCATTGTCATTACTACCGTTGGTATGATATTAAACAGAGTCTTGATTATCCATTTTTACGTTAAATCATCCATCACAAAACATATTTAACAGAATGTAAAATAATTAATTTGAGTACAATTTAGCGTGGATTAAGCCATGAAAATTTAGATATTATCTGAAAGCTTTTGACGATCAGCAGCTATAAGTTATATTTTTCACAAAGAAATCTTTTAATTTGTGTTTTTATTATTTAATAAAATTAAAAACGAAATCTAGTTTTTAATCATTTTATCTTATCTGGCAAAGGTGTCGGCTTGGTCAAAATTAAAAAAAAAAAACCCTTAAAGTTGGATATGAAAATAGAGAGCAAAAAGAGAAATGAGAAAACATAATAATCAGAAAAAAATCAATGGATTTATAGCAGCTAATACAACAAGAGTGCCGAACAATTCCTGAACCACAATAAAGAGACTAGAATGTATTTAATGTAAATGAAATTTGCTGTGGTTAAAATAAATACTTTACATGTATGTTAAACAATGATGTATGATATTTATATGTATGGATCTGAACTCGACTACTATCTATGGATAAAATACAACAAGACCGGGCTATCATTTTGGAAATGATTGATGAAGAACACATTTTCAGGATAAAACAGTTTTATCTGTCTAATGTAGACAAATCAAAAGTAGTATTTCTACAATTCTAAATGTAGATATGATAATGAAAGTGGTGTTATTTAAGAGACATGTAACTGGGCTTAATGTGATAGTAAGTCAGTAACATGTAATTAGATTTTTTTTTCTAGAAAGAACATATATTCTAATATTAATTTTATAAATACATAACAATGCATATTATAACAGAAGTGTTTAAAATCGTTTACTACTGGGCAAAGTCTAGTTTATAGACTGATTTGGGAGTCAATTACAAGTGACAGCCCAATTTACCAAAGTATATATTTAGTTATGACTGACGGAGGTATAATATTACAAACTACATGTACAGACAGATTATAAATTTGACCGATTACTTACAGATGGATATAAAGAATGTAGATGTACAAATTTGATACATATAATTTACAATGATAAATATATTAAGACTCATAATAAACTTAAACTAATTAATGGAATTAAGAGCAACTCATTCATTTAATAAATCCCACTAATTTAGTATTTTGTCAATGATTAAGGAGGACATATGGTTTTTGCATTGTAATTGTTTGAAATACATTATTTATGTAACAAAATAATATTCTGGCCTAAAAATTTAAAAAGAATCCACAATGATGCTCCTATAATCTACAAAGCAATCTATGAGAACCTTCATTATTTGTTGGGTTTTTTTTTAAGATTCTCACAAATTTTTAGGCCTGTTGCTACAAAATCTAGTTTAATCATATAAAACCTGTAAATGTATATTAAGCTAATTAGTCAAGATATGTAAATTACTATAAATAATCCTTACAAAGAAAGAGATAAATTACTGAGCAATAACATTATTGATAACTGATCCAGGACTAGTTTGCAGCAATTACTATCCCATTCATAGTATTATTAGAATATTTGAAGCTATCATGGTCTACATATAAATATACAAACTACACAGTAGTATAATATATATATACAGTTACATCACATACTGTGTAAAATAAGTCAGACTATACTTATATATTGAAACCAATATTTGGTTTGTTGATTATTACAGTACACCTAAATTCTACAAGTCTTAATTCATTTGCATAATTTCATTAGACCACACCATTATTAACTTTTGTTCTTCAAGTACACCTACATGTATTAAAATTTTGCTTCTTATCTTTTATGAGGGTGAGGCGAATCAATTAACAACAAACAGCATGAAAGTGCTTATTTGCTCTTTTCAAAAGATTTTAATTTCACAATTTTGAAATTTTAAACAAACAAATTGTTCCCTATCAGATAGGCAAGTTTTAAAAGATACTGGTCACATAGACCTTCAAGGAATTTAGCAGGGAAAATAACATTTTCAGAATTTCTTTTAAAAAAATAAACGAAACTAAGTGAAATTGAAAATACCAAAACAAATATTTTAAATAGACAATACTATGATTGTGTAACAGTTTTCTAAGAATATACCTGAATTACTAATACACAAATTATCATCATTTAGAACCAACAGATATTCTGTATTCAATAACATTATTTAAACCAACTTGGGGTACTTTTATTTGGTAGGTATTGATATAGAATGTATACTATGACAAGAGGGGCAATAGAATATCTAATCTTCTAAAAGTTCATCAAGTCTTAAAGAGGCAATAACTAGAAACAAATGTAATAGATTTCATACATTACTATATTCAAAATTGACATTGCCTTAACATATCGAAAATCCAAACCAATTAGAGCAAATCAATTTTCGACAAGCCTGCAGAAAATTCCTGGATTTGGATCTTAAAAATTAAGTCAAAAGATCTGTCTCAATTTTTTAACGCCAACGGATCTGGACACCATCTTTTTAAATTACATCAACACATGTTTTTACCGACTTACTGAAGTATATGGGTTTTCAGAATTTCAATTAGTCCCCATGTTGAATAATTATTGCCCCTCTAATTGTAACTTGATAGTGGTGTGATTAATAAATATAAATAATGTATTTATAATAATGGGGTGTTAAATAAACGTATTAAAAAGTACAACAGACGACATATTAAGAATAATTAAACATGCACGATGCAGCACTAAATTAAGGCAATGATAAATTATGATTACATGTATTTTACTTAATAAACAAAACCTTCTTAGAAATCGTAAAAAAACTTTGTTCACCCGGTCACAAGACGTGGTAACATCTTTTTTTCACCCAGTCACACAAACTTCAATGACAACACATTCTTGCAATTTTTGATATAAAAAATTGCTTTGAGTTTGCTTGTATGTGTGTGGATTGTAATATATATATATATATGCTCTTATTATTAATACAAGTAAATCGAAAGCAGTTTAATATATCAGCCAAAACTTTCTTTTTTCATTCTACTCCACAAAATGATTTAGCAGTAGGTAAGACCGGATTTGGCGCTTTAGGTGGGACAACTTTATTGTTGATAAAGGCGGGATGAGTTATCTGCCCTAAGAAATGACTTCTACAACTGTTGTCTAATGCTACACTATATCATGACTATAACAACTAGCTAATATTCCAGCATGGAGAAATATTCACTCTGGGTATACATCACTTGTTTAGGGTATACATCACTTGTTTCGTTTAGGGTATACACCACTTGTTTACATAGATATTAATCGTCTGTTTTGGGTATCCATCACTTGTTTACATAGATATTAATCTCTTGTTTAGGGTATACATCACTTGTTTAATCATCTGTTTGAATAGACATCAATCATCTGTTCAGGGTACATGTGTGCATCACTTGTTAACATAGATATTAACCACTTTTAGAGTATACATCACTTGTTTACATAGATATTAATCATCTGTTAATTAAGGATATACATCACTTGACAACATATATATTAATCATCTGCTTAAAATATTTCTTACTTGGGGGTGATTAGAATTTACTTCATAAATCAGCTGTCAATTAAAAATTTGAAAATTATAAATTCTTCTCCATTATGTTGACTTTCTTAATGTTTTCAGGAACAATTCTGTAAAGACGCCTCCATGCCAGTCAGCCATTGAGCTTGTGTTGTAAAATGTTTTAAATATTAAAACTATACACATCACACTTGATCAACTTCATATAAATGACATTGTAAATAGGAGGTGGGAACAAACCCCTCAATATTGTCATCTTTACGTATTCGTGTCCATCCATCACCTTGATCTTGTTCTATTATAAACATCTCCTCATTCTCATCCATTGGTACTGAACCTTCATTTACCGCTGAAAACAAGATGTATACAAAATTTGAGTAAATGAAATGAAATGGGATTTAACTCCGTCAACTCAGTGACCCACGGCGGCTCCCCAAATTTGAGTGACTGAAGCAATTTGATTTATGATAACAATAAACACTAACACTAACAAGCCAACAGTGAGGCTCATGTCCCCTGCCGAAATCCCAAAATAAATAGATGACACATTAATTTCAAAAGTATCGAGCAATCAAACTGATTATCTATACTTAGTCTAAGCATAAAATGTTCATGATCGAACTCGGTCAAGTTTTTTAAGTACCTGGTAGTGAAACTATACACTAAGTTTCATCACTCTCCATAAATTAGAATCAAAGTTATCTTGTCCCAAAGCATCCGGCCAATGAAATTGCTTAGCTCTGCTTAGCTTTAGCAGGAAATGTTAATTATTGAATTCAGTCACGACATTCACCTAATGAACATCTACATCAAGTTTAAACATTCTACTTCAATTAAAAGCATAGTTGTTACGTTCCAAAGTCTCAACAAATAAAATTACTTATTGCTACTTAGCCTAAGCAGAAAATTCTCATCATTGAACTTAGTCAAGGTATTGATATAGTGAATCTATACTTGGAGCTACATACTCTCACGCAATTAGAACCAAAGTTATTGTGTTGCAAAGTCTCAACCAATCAAATTGCTTATCTCTGATTAGCCTTAGTGGAAAATGTGCATGACTGAACTCTGTCAAGCCATTCACCTACAGTGTAACAGACACCTACACCAAGTTTGAACATTCTAGCTCAATTAACAGGAGAGTTATAGTGTCCCAAAAAATGTGAGGGACAGACCCATGACTTAAATAGCTACAAAGTCCTAAAACAACTTTTGGTAAGCATTGTATTCCCTGTAAACATTCATAAAGTCCTTACCTTCAAACCTATATAAAGCTCTACATGTACCTATAACAGGATAATTAAATTCATCTTCTTCATCATCCACATCACCATCAACAGGTCTACAACAACAAACATTTAACACTCTTTACCTAATTAATAATTGAAGCAGTATAGTGTACTGTTTGTACTGTTTTAAATATGGTTGACAAGTTTACAATGATTTAGCAATAACTTTATTCCACAAACAACACGTAGTATACTCTGTTCATTATAGAACAAACATGTATATCAGATGCTGATAAATAGACATGTAAAAGATGATTTACATTAAGATAAGATACAAAAAGCCCTATTGGTATATATATTTATTAACCCTGAATTCTTGTTGGGATCTAGGCCATAATCAGACTTTTCAATCAGTTTGTGTGAATAGTGCTCATACAAAATTATTGTGGTTTTTTTTCCATTATATTCTTCATCTCCTATTACCAAGTTCAAATGCTAACATGCTTTATATAAATTATACAGACTTCCAATATATAGATAATACTTGTATACATAACATGCACTTATACAATCTGTCAAATTTCACCAATGTGGCCCCTGACGCAACTTCCTTGGCAAACCTGTCTGATCTATATGGAGTGGAGGCCACATATAGCCATATATACAATTGAGTTCTTTTCCAAAATGTACCAATCAACATTCATCAAGTTTCAAACTTGCAAGACGATTTATAAATTTACAAGATCGTGCTTTTGTTTTTACTCTATCCAACTTGAGGCTCTATATTGGTGTTTTGCTTTTGAATATTGTTTAATGATAGTTTAATTCTAATCACAGATAAGAGACATACTTTTAGTACTTTCAGTAGAAAATACTTTTCAATGTAATTTCTAGCACAATAATTGCTACTACCGTACCGTACATATAAATGAATTTTATTTCACTGGAAATGAAAGGACATGGCGTACAACATCCTACTTATCTGCACATATTGGGCTAATGAACCTTGGTATACGCCATGCAGTGAGATAGGGTAGCGCTGTTTCCACTAACCCATAGTCAAATATTTAGTTATTTGCAATTATAAAGAAGGAATACGGATTAATCCACTAGAAATAAGCTAAGGGAGAGAAGGCCTGTTGGATTAATTATCACCTGGGATTACAGAGGTGGTTGTTCATTGGCTCTAGGCTACCAAACCAATACTATAATGATATCAAACTTTATCATTTCATCTTTTGTAACTTCATATTTTGACTGGAAATCTTAAAATTGACATAACATTTTGGACAGAAGTCTTCATAAAGTTCATTTATACATACATACAATACATACATACATACATACACGTACATACAAGGCTTACATTTTCATGTACAGTAATACTACACCCATTGTAATGAATAACATAGATATAGACAAACTAAGGCTATATATATATAATATAGTTAGCTGGTTTATTTTGTCTTATTCAATAAGGTAAAAACTTTATACCACTGCTCACAGTGACAGAAGTGGATTTAATCAAACATCTAATATGAGCAGACAATAACATTTTCTTTTTTTTTTCTTATATTGAGTAAAACAAACCAGCAACATATATTATGAGAATATAAACTAAGCAAACAACTATATAAGATATGTTGAAAGTAGTGGACTATAAAACTAAAGTAAAAAATAACCAGAATAGAGAGACCCACCTAAAACTAGAGATGAGCCGAAAGCAGGACGGGGGAGGGGTATCGTTAAAACCGTTATTAGATACATGTACATGTAGTAAAACTATCGATCAGTATAAAATAGTTATTTAGATATATTGTAGCCTACATGTTCTTTTAATTGCCAATCAGTAATGTACTAAGTCAGAACGCTGGTCGGCATTTTGATATCTTACTGTGTGTTCACACATAGGAGACATTATAAATCCCACCATTTTGTGATCTCTTGGCAGCACTGAATAACAAAAATTCAAACGGAATAAAATTCTTTGCCATAGCAACCAGAATGAAGGGGTACACCAATCACACTGGCAGATAGTTTTTACATGCATTGTATGTTTTTGATCATTTGCAACCTCACATAGCTAATTGGCATTGTTTGCATGGAATTGTGTGGCCTGCTACACTCAGTTTGCAATAAATTTGTTTCCAGTGGCAGGGCAGTACCAATTGAATATCTGTCAAAACATTGGTAAAAATGGCCAATTATCAGCAAATAACACAATTGTCGACAGACAGCAATGTAGTAAACTATGATCGGCTCATCTCTACTTAAAACTCAAAACTAAAGAGGTATGAAAGTGCAGGAATCAAAAGCCTGCTACTTACGCGTACACATTAGTAACATTATGCTGTGTCTGTGGTGTACCGGGTAGAGAATTATCCTGTCTTTGTATTACACTACTTTCTGATGCTGTCATAGATATAGAATCATCTGATGTACTATTCCGTTTATCACGACCTCTACTACTATTGTTTTCTGCATCACTCAAATACCCCTGTAATAATATAATTCAGTCATGAAATAATACTATAAGCTATCTACGTTTAGCTCTATTTACATAATATCCATAACACAACATTCATTAATTGTCAGTTTCATCATTAAATACTGTACCAAAGACAACATAAATAACACATTTATTTTCATCCCCTTATGCCTGACAAAATTGTCAAGTCATAAATTGTAAATTTCATCATTACATACTGTTCCAAATAGAAAATAAATACCATAAATAGTACCTTTAAATTCCTTGTTAAAAAACCTGGTTATTATGATATTGTTTCAACAATTATAAGTTTAATTAAATTGCAGAGTATGCTTTTTTTCTATAGAAAACCTGATGCCACTTATTATCATTAATGTGGGAAGTTTTACATAACTAACAATTTTTGTTGTACTTTAAACAAAATGACAGGGAACAGTTTTCAACTCACCTCAAATTTCTGTAATTCTTGCCGTAAGCCATCAATCTTTTGAGCATTTTCCTCCACCTTTTTATCAAGTGTTGTGGGGTCACCTAATGCTGGATTGTTGCAATAAACATCTTTCATTTTTAACATACCTTCCCTAAAATAATAAACATACACATTATAACACTGTACATTTGTTTTATTTAAAAGTAGCCATCACTTGCAATTTTAAGCAAATCTGTTCACTAAGCTAAATTATGGCAGCTCAGAGAGTATACTCATTTTAAACTGGTTTATTCTAATTTAACTTGTTCATCAGAAATATGTATTACATCTTTTGTCAGTAAAATATTATATTGCAAGATAACTAAAATGGTACCTCTCAGCAGACTCTTTCGCCATTTCTTTTTTAATACTGTCAATTTTTTGCGTTAGTTTACGCCTCCGTTGATTGGGTGGTAAATCACTGAAATCTTCCTTCTGGTCATCGGTCTAATAAATAATTATAATACATTATACACAACCTGTTACATAATAGACACAACTGATCTTCTTATGATAGTTAGTGTTTAAATAATACAATGATGGAAAAAGCCAAACTAAATGATTCCAATCTATACATATGTTGCTATAGCACTAGATAATACTTAAGCTTATTCTAACAAAGAAATTAATTAAATTGCACTAAGGTTGGCATAAATATAGGTAAATGTGATGTAAATTATTATCATTACATACTTTATTATATATGACTATTGGTAAACTGGTGAAATTATGAACCACGAATATGAACGATGCACCAGATTTTAACTCTGTACTACTTGGTTTCTTAGGAAGTTATTCTAATTACAGTTAGTCATCTATACATATATCTAAATCTAACATGCACTTTTCCCCACCAAAATAGAGTAGAAACTAAAAATCCTCAAAAGTTGAGTGAAAAAAAAAAAAGAAGATAGATCCCAAAATGAAATTTTCTGGTCCGCCAACATTCTACACACCCTATTCCACAAGTATGATTGTGGTTCGTCAGTCGAGGAACAATTCAAAATTGTTAATTTCACCTCTACATTATAGTACATATGATTTTCGACAGAAGGTTGTCTGCTTCTCTGATGAATGACGTTGGTCTAATTATTTATAGAACGTAAGGCACGTAGAATACGACCATATTATATATTATTATATTAGTGTTTATGGTGAAATAGTTTTGAGTTTATTAGTGGACGATGAAGATCTGATGAACATTCAAGCTATGAATTAACAAGTTAATCTCAGATAGCCATGCAAGATAAAAGGGTAAAATACCATCCTTGATTCTGTTAGCATTCAAAATCTTGATCTAATTAAGGTTTCTCTTGGTAAATATATTTTGAGTCTGTATAGTGCATGTTTGAAAAATAACATTCTTCTTCCAATATTGTATACAATAAATAGCAAGTCTGATGAATTATTCAGGTGGGGAAGGGATATGTGAAATCATAACCATCTTGTGAAAAACTGAATAAAATGGAAGCCCAAATCAAAGTGTTGAGATAGGCTCACAGGTACAACCAACCATTAATCAAGATTTAACTTACAAATCCCAAACACTGTCAAAAATAAAATATAATGCACAAAAATTATACCTTATACAGAGTCTGGTTCTATAAAGAATGTGAAAGAATGACAGTAAAACATCACTATACTAAGTTTGAGATTTTAATGAGATTTATCAAATATTTGTCAGAATTTTTAAATACATGTAGTATTTCAAGATTTTAAAATAGAATTTTATGATTTTAAAATAGTAGTTCAAGATTTTAAGATAGGTTGCTAGACAACAAAACAAACACCCACAGTAGCTAAATTGTCTGAGCAGTCGACACATATTTATTTTTTTGTAAGTAATTTGGGGCATTTACAAGACAATTTCATACAGATCAGATTATAATTTTTGTCGTTTGAAGGTTTACAAGGTTCTACAAACTGAAACAAGAACCTTAACTCTGGAAGTAATTTACAAAACAATTTTGACATTTGACATACTTTTTCGTTTTACTAATTTAAATAATGCATATAAATATTATACAGATCGGATCATAACTTTTGTCATTTGAATGTTCACAAGATTAACAAAGTAAAACAAGGGCAATGACTCTAGAAATAATTGAGACGGAAATTGCTGAAATTTAATAGACCTCGGTTTCACAAATTTAAAAGATGCATATAAATTTCATAAATATCGGATGATAACTTTCATCAATTGAGCATTAACAAGGTTGAACAAAGTGAAACAAAGGCCATAACTCTAGAAGTAATTATTGTAAATTGCTGAAATTCAATAGGCTTCGTGGTTTCACTAATCTAAATGAGGCATATAAATTTCATACAGACTGGATGATAACTTTTGGTGTTGGAGTGTTCACAAGGTTCAACAAAGTGAAACAAGGGCCATAACTCTAGGCATAATAAACGGAAATTGCTGAAAAGCAATAGGATTCTTTGTTTTTACTAATTTAAATGACACATATAAATTTCATACAGATCGGCAGATAACTTTAGATATTAGAGCGTTCACAAGGTACAACAAAGTGAAACAGGGGCAATAACTTTAGAATAAATGGCCATTGCTGAAATTCAATAGGATTCTTCTTTTTACTAATTTAAATGACGGCATATAAATTCATACAGATCCGCAGATAACTGAGCATTCACAAGGTGCAACAAAGTGAAACAAGGGCCATAACTCTAGAAGTACATGTAATTAACGAATTTAAAAAATACATCTAAATTTAAATAATACATCTAAATTTAAATAATAATTCTAAATTTAAATAATAATTCTAAATTTCACAAAGTCGGATAACTTTTGCCGTTAGAGCATTGACAAGGTTCAAGAAAGTGAAAAAAGGGCCATAACTCTAGACGTAATAAAAGGAAATTGTTGAAATTCAATAGGCTTCTTCGTTTCACTAATTTAAATAATGCATATAAATTTCATTAAGATTGGATGATAACTTTTGGCTTTAGTGTTCACAAGGTTCAACAAAGTGAAATAAGGCCCGTAACTCTAGACGTAATAAACGGAAATTATTGAAATGGAATAGACTTCTTCATCTCGCTAATGTAAACAACATATATCAATTTCAAAACAATTGGATGACAACTTTTGGAGTGGAGAGCATTCACAAGAAATTGTGGACGACGGCCTGGCGAATAAAAATAGTATTTCAAGATTTTAAAATAGTATTTCAAGATTTTAAAATATTATTTCAAGATTTTAAAATATTATTTCATTTTAAAATATTATTTCAAGATTTTAAAATGGTATTTCAAGATTCTTAAATAGTAATTCAAGATTCTTAAATAGTAATTCAAGATTCTTCAATAATAATTCAAGAGTATTAAATAGTAATTGAAGAGTTTTAAATCGTATTTCAAGAGTTTTAAATTGTATTACAAGACTTTTAATTAGTATTTCAGGGCTTTTACACATTTTTACTGAAGATTGCCAATAGTAGCAATTGAAGATTTGGTTAAGAAGACAGATGAATATTGCTACAGTACATCCATTTCTTCAGCTAAAAGTATACTTCAAGCATTTAACAAATAGACTTAAATTTCAATAAAACCATAACTTTATAAACCAAAAATAAATTACAATCAACATTTAGGTAATGGAGATTGTATCAATGCATAAATTCATTTTGCTTTACCAAAGCAGCTGAAAGGAATAAAAGGACACTACTCAATTTTAAGACCAACCAACCCCAATATGTAAACTTATATAATTGACTCTAATCATATTTCCATGAAACTTGCTGTTAAAGCTTTTCTTTTTTTTCAAACACCAGTGCTATGCAAAGCTGCACAAAAGTCAACAAAGTGAAACAAAATACCATTAAGATTATTATTTATAAAAATGGAACAAAAAAAAACCCCCACACACACACATTTAACATTCCTTCAATTACAACAAAACAAAAAAAAACAAACAAAAATAATAAAACTGTACAACTAAAAATAAAACATCATTCCCTATTAAATAAATACATAAAACATGCGTACACACATCTATATGTGTATCTAGATTAATCTATAATCACTGTTACATATATAAGTACATACCAACAATCCTATAATCTTCATAGGGACCAGAAAAAGACAAAAACCAAATAAAAACTACCGTAACTTATATGACAACAGTCTTCATTTTAATACCAAATGACACATGGATTTTCCATTTCTTGTTTCAGAATTTCGAATTTCTGTATTTATTACTATATTAATAATTTTGTTGTATTGTCATTATAAGTGTTTAATTAAATTTAATTTTCCATTAAAATCCACGTCTCAATTCAGCATATAATTATTTTCAAACTATTTCAATAAACAATGGATATGACATAATTATACCAATGAAATAAATAAAATGATAAAACACATGAATGACAATAAATATATGATAAAAATCATAATCTTGTTAATTTAAAAAGACTTTATAACTATAGTATTAGCCATTTTAAATCAAATTAACTATAGATAGATGTTTTAACCACCATAGGGTATTCAAGGAAATTTGTTTAAAGGATCAAATGAGAAATTGATCTTAGCTTTAAAACACGGAAATAGGCACACAAAAATCTAACCATATGGTTTGTCGACTATCGTATCAAAAATGGTGATTATAACATTTATACATGCAATACATTTAATATTAAGAAAGCAAGGCAAGAAATAAAATATATATAGATGTATAAAACTTTATACAAGTTTTATCATAATATTTAAATTTCTTACTTTTCCCTTCAAGGATGACGTTTAAAACAATGAGAAATGAAATGAAAAGATTACAAGATGTGTTTTGATTGATTTATTTAATAAATTGATGATCCTCACCATTTTAGATGGGAGTCCCTTACCAAATTAGTTTAAAGGATAGCCTTAGGTTAACAGAAGCATTGGGCTAGTTTTGCAGATTAGCAAATTATTTTGTTAAGGAAATTTAAGGCTTAAAATGAAAAAAGTACATCTGCAATGAATTAATATTTAAAACATTTCTTTTAATCAAATCTACAAACTTTGTAAATCTATAACTAATGTTCATCATTGCTTAAAATGTACTTGTTCAACTAAACACGTATTTAAATATTTGAAAATGATTACAACCCTCTAGTTGTGATGATCTGAGCACTGTAGCTTTTCAGAAACTACATATCTCAACAAAATTTTACAGCAACTAAGTTTAGCTACTATTCATACAATGGTAGAGGAAAAAATAAGGCTTTATGTTTTCATACAAAAAATAATAAGTTGCCAGGCAACAAAACATACGAACACCACAGCTAAATCGTCAGAGTTTTGTCTCATTACAGGGGTCAAATTGGAACGAAGGCATTTTTTTCAAAAAATGCCACAGTAATTACTTCTTCACTACAGCAACTTTTATGTACACTAAGGCAAAACTTTTAATTTACTTTCATCACTACGGCATTTTTTAAACTGGGAAACTTTGATTGATAATATGAATCCGTTTTATTTCTTCGAAATCAGGCGGCCTAAAAATTCTTGCAAGACCATGAATCTGCTTTGGCTCAGCGACATGAAGATTCGTGCAATTCTATAATCCATCTCCACAATTCCACCAATATAAGTGGCTGCTATTTGACTTCCAACTATCTGAGTAACCGTACGATGGAACGACTGAAGATCGATGGTTCGAGATCTAACTCGAAAATGCAGTCACGAGAACTCGGGGAAGAAACAAAACAATAAATTCCTACTTTCGGTTATGCTGTGGATTACGCAGATATACAACGGCGATTCAGTGTCAACATCGGCAAACTGCCGTTGTGATATTCTTAAATAAATTACCACGGCTAAAGATGCCGTAGTCATAATTTATTTTCTACGGCAATTTCGCTAAATACTACGGCAAATGTCGCGGGTGCCGACATGAATTTTGACCCCTGCATTATGAATCAGTAAGTAAACTTGCCGAAATCCCAAAATAAATAGATGACATATATTGATTTAATAGCACATTTATTCTTTTCAAAAGTGTTGAGCAATCAAACTAATTATCTATACTTAAGTCTAAGCATAAAATGTTCACAATCAAACTCAGTCACGTTTATAAATGTAGGACTAACTTGAGTAATATTAATTCCAAGTTTTGCTCTTGGTTCATTTGAACCTGTTTTTATTTCAATATATCCCATAAAGACTAGACAATACACACAATGTTTGTGATCGCACAAGGTAATATTACGATGAATGTTACTAAAAATAGAATAAAATAGATCGTGTCTATGTATGATTGGTTAAATTAACTAAAAACTAAAGTAGAACTCTCAAGAGACGCGAGAAATTACAAGATGGCATATGAAAATTTCTACAATGAATAATGTCACAAGAAAGATTCTATTTTGATGGAATTTTATAGCCTTTATGATTATATTTTGAATGGGGGATATGTTTTTAAATAAAAGTTACATATATTTACAAATGTTGACAAGTATTTGTATTAGAATACCGATGTGGTTTTAGACAATAGCAAAGTGACTTTACCGAACGAGTGCTATTATTTAGCAGACGATGCCACTTGACAGTTGGGAACTGAGAATTTTTTTATGGATGTAATTTGTTTTAACTTTATCCATATATAAGTCAATGTGAATTATAAATCAACTTATAGCCCGAAAAATGTGGTAATTAATGGAAATTATGCAAATTTAAGTGATAGGCACTGTTTTGATCAATGAATATAGATTTCACACAAATCGAATGATTACTTTTGATGGTTAGCACATTCACAAAAACAAGGGCCATATCTAGAGAAGAAGAATATTTAATGTAGCCTCTAGAGTGATTATAAGAAATTATGAATACTCGATGAACAGCCGGGCAGGGCGACAACATTATACAACCACATTTCAATGTGGACATATAACAATTATCTTTTCAGAATCAGTAACTGAAAAGTATTGGAAGACTTATGAAGATGAATGAGACAGCGTTTAGCATACATTTAAATGATCAAGATGAACTATGTGCATTGATGAATGTCTATTTTGCATTCTGATTCATTCAAGAATTTCTAGTAAAATGTGCTTTACCTTTGTGAATTTGAGCTTTGCAATGAAATAATAAAATTTTCTTTGAAAAATATCAAAAAAAAAAAAAGCAATTTAGAAAGTTGTGAAAATTCTTCCATAGCAGTTAATGCTGATAAGCAAAAAAGAATATCTAGTTATAGACCGTGTAGTTTGTTTGTACATGTATGTCTTTATTTAAATTTAATGTCAGAAAGAGAAAAAGATTACAACATACATGTACATCATCACTCCTTTTTGACTTGGAGCTAATGTCTAGACTTAAAACATGAAATTATTGCATTCGTGATATTCATCTTAAATTTCAAACGGCTTGATGTTGTTGTAGTTTTAATCAAATGAAATGTTTCTATGTTTATCTATAGATAGACTATTAAAGGACGATATTGATGTCAGTCATTATTACATATGTGATAGAACTGGTTAGATACATTCCAAATATAATTTCAACACAGAGATCATTGCTATGGTAGATGTGTAACAAGCACGTGAAGAAACAGGAAGTGTCGCCAAACATGACAAACACAAGTTATCCTTCTATATAATTGAATGAAGTAACGAGCGATAACAGACAAACGATCGAATTTCATTTCACTGATAATTCCGTTGAAGATGAAAGGTTATTATATGGGATGGTGAAAGGGTATCTCACAATTCAAAAATAGAATTGGCTGTCACTAGATAAGGAAAAACAAGAAAAATAGAAAAATCCCATGCATTCCCCCGTTTTTTAATGCACAGACTTTTTCTAATTTGTTCGTTATCTTTTATCTACTGACAGCCAATTCTTTTTTTGAATTGTCAGAAATCCTCTCACCGTCTCATATAATAACTTTTCATCTTCAACTGAATTATCAGTCAAATGAAATTCGATCGCATGTCTGTTATCGCTCGTTACTTCAGTTAGTTATATAGAAGGATAACTCGTGTTTGTCATGTTTGTCGTCACTTCCCATTTCTTCACGTGCTTGTTACACATCTCCCGTAGCAATGATCTCTGTGTTAAAATTATACTTGTGATGTATTTAACCAGTTCTATTACATATTTTATAATGACTGACACCAATATTGTCCTTTAAAATTAAGAAACTTTTCTCTATATATATTTCTACTATGATGGATTCCCATTTTAGTCCGTAGCAATAATTTCATGTTGTACAGTACACTTCATTGACATAGCACGAAAACCCAAGATGAATAATTCAATCAATAAAATAGAATTCCTCTCAAAAGGGAGATAACTAAGCAGGACAGAGTATCGCATAAGTTTTTTTTTCTCTCAAATGCAATGAGGTTTCAAATAAAATTACCAAAAATCAACCAAAATGAACGACATTCATTCCACTCAATTCCTTAATCTTAGTAAGATACATGTCCATATACCTGTTTATGAACTCAGTTGTAAGTGCTATGACAATTATAAGACATTGAAATATTCTTCATATTTATGTATCGGTACTACATGTTACATCTACTAATTAAATAAATAATTAATCTAATTAACCCTTCACCGCTATATAGAACATCAATAATTTAATCAGGAGTCATTTGTTAAACATATAATTATAGGAGAAAATGTTACCTTGCTAGAAACAGGCTATAAAATAAAGAGCAGTAAGCTTTACAATATATGACAATACAAGGTCCTGTAATAGAATATATAATAGCACTTCTATATAAAATGAAACACACTCGATATAAACAAAGCTTAGATACTTACTTTGGATGATCCAAATAGTCCAAAGAGTCCAGTGCGCTTTTTACTTTTTCCCGATAACGTCGCTAATTTGGAGGTATTCTTATGATCTATGGTATTTTTGGGTGTTACATTGTTTGAATTTTCTATAGATTGTCCTAAACTTAAATCTTCAAATGGTATGTCATCTGGTTTGGGGAAACCAGATTTATTTCTATCTATCACAAGCCGTGAATCCTGTAGAAAAAGAAGGAAAATGTTTCATATGTGTTATCAGTATGATATCCACAAAAAAACTTACAAAGACAATGTATATGCCATAAATTAGAATTTTATGGAATTTAACCTCAAAACACAATAAATATAGTTTCATTTAAAGTTTCAAGACCTACAAAAACTTACAAAAAATATCTTAGTTTTCAGGCAATCATTCAAAAAATCTGATGCAGGATGATAAAAAATCTTGCAAAGATTTTGTCAAGAACTGTTCGACTCCTGACATTTTGAAGTGAAAGTGCCTAATTCCTTTAGTACTTACATTATTGGCATCTATATTATTAGCAGCTTTCTTCATGCCGTCTATACAGGTATTTATAATAGGTATCACATTAGCTTCTACATCAGCACACTGATGAATAAAATCTTTTAATCTATTTATTCTCTTCTCATCCATCTGTTGCAATTGCTGAAATAAATAACAAACCAATCTCTGTAATAATTCGCACGAGCAGGGATAAGAATCTTGACACAACTCTAAGCTTAGCTTTCGACTATAACTCTCAAAAAATACCAATGAAATATATAATAAATTATCATCTGAGTTTTTCAAGTGAAGCAACAACACTTATTGAAAGTAGTCTTTATTAAAATGTTTATATCCCTTTTCATAACATCACTTGAAGGATTTTAAGTAAATAAAAGGATAAACATGATCGCAAAAGTATTGGACGCTAATTTCCAACAACACAGAAAAATGTCACATGATTAATCATCAGTCTGTTCGACAATAGAAAAACATATTTGGGTTATTCTACTGGCTGGAGCATTTTTTAAATTGTAGTAAAAAGCTTTGGACCTGCATTTTAAATCATTCCGAGACCCAACATGTATTCATTGAGAGCACAGACATTATTGTGAATAAGATTCTGGGTAATAGAGACAAAGTTCTTTTAAAGTGTTAATAGAGTTGTCTCCCTTTAATTGAAACATTACAGTCATTATTTTTCTAATTTTATAGGAATGAAGGTCAAGCTACTCGAAAGTATGATTTGATAAATTAAAATATCTTGTTTTTGAAAATGTTTTAAAATTTGAAACCTGAAAAACTTCTGGCATAAGACTGGTATAGAAATTAGACTGGTGTTGATTTGTTGTCAGTAACTGAGCAGCGTATTCATTTTTACATTCTTCACATAACTGAGCTTTAGTATTCATCAACATCCGTGTCTGGAAAAAAACAACAACACAAGAATATATAATTACATTAGTGAATAAAGATACACATTATACTACAATTGCATAATAAAAGCCCTGATCTGATTACAAATGAGAGGTAGTATTGAATAAATAGAATAATAACAGGGTGTTGTGTGTTTATTTACAAAATGTCTTTTTTCCTTAATTTCAGTAATTTTTGTTAACATAAACATTACCTTCTCTACTTCAGCTCTAGATAGGTTAATATCAGCATCTGCTTTTCTGTAACTTTCCATCGTTTTTTCAGCTTCTTTAAAACCTTTTTCATATCGATTTTTAGCCTGTAATCAGCATAATATTCAATTAGTCGATTTACTAACTTCAGTCTAGAGAACATCCCAAACTTAGGCTGTCTATCTACAGCTAGCTCCGGCTGAGAATAGGCCCTAAGCTAATTAACCGACATTTTAATTCCTACATCGACGATTTTAGTCGAAAACACTGAGTATGCTTTTAGAAATTTTTAGAAGTATTTATTTCTCTTCTATTGTCATATTGAATGAAATAAAATATGTTTATTTAGCCGTTGTGTGTTTGAAAGATGTCAAACTAATTTGAAAGATGTCAAACTAATTTGAAAGATGTCAAACTAATCAGAGCCGAATCACAAAAAAGTTCCCTAATTATTCAATATGGCGGCGCCTATGACAGATAATTTCACAGAGGCGGTTTTGTTTGCGAAAACAAATTTAGGAGTATCTAAACCTTGTTTTGAAAGATAAACAGATTGAAACTCTAAAGACAGTTTACAATGGTAAAGAATTTATTGCAATATTACCCATAGCACATATTATATATCGCTTTTACGCGAGTGTCAGCGACATGGCGTGTTTACATAAAACCCACGTGCATGGGTTATTTTTACTCTGTTGTCTAAACAAAACGATGTCTCGTCGATACGTCCCGACCCAAAATGATCACGTATGCTAACCAGGGCAGTGTCACATTCTGGGAAGTATGACGTAGATGGGTCGCTGCGTGCAGTATGTCTAGAGAACTTAAATATTGTGATTTCAAGGTTTACTTATAATCATTAAATGTTTTTATTGCATTGTGTGTTACAAAATAAGTTCTGGATACTATACTTTGTAAAATTTGAGAATAATAAACTAACCCTATCTAAGTGTTGATAAGACTTATTTAACTGTTCCTGTATCTTTTGTCCTTCATTTAAAAGCTGAAACAAAGTAATAAAAAGTAATGGACATATATTCCTTGCGATTTCCTTGTTTATTTCCATTTAATCTGAAGTATTTATTTACTAGAGCTAAATCAGTTGTTTACTAAGAAAAATGCATTTTTAGAAATGATAATCGATGTGAGACTTAAAGCAACGGTATTAAGTGCTTATCATATACACTTGTGGGAAGAATATAAATTATTTTTCATAAGATTGAAAACTTTTTGAACAAGTCAGAATCTAATGAATAAAACATCATAGATTTAAAAAGTTATAGACATCTAAAAAATGTGTTGTAAGAGTTGGAATTTGATCAAAAATGCTTCCAGTAACGAGATAGCTTTATCATTGTTTATATTGACAGTATGAAAGATATAGATATGGTAGTATGGTATCTGATTTTCATATAAATATATCAAAATAGATATATATATATATAGACTCATGTATACTGTGTATACATTTAGCTTAGAGTATGGTTCATTAAATATTCAAATGTAGATACAAGTATTTTTCTTTAAACCTCAATTTAATGAAGCCTTGCAGAATAAAACTCTTGAAGAATACCTATTTGTAGATTTACATTGTACATGTACATGTACATGTATGCCTAAATACACATATAGATGTAAAATTAATATTTCTACATGCAAAATTATTTATTTCTATAAATAAAATTTTAAAAACTCCATAATTACTCTTTTCCGTTCTTGTTTTAATTCTGCTATTAAATTTTGCATATCTTTCATGACATTTCCTTGTAAATTTTCTGCCACCACTTCATGCTGGCTTGCTACATCATGTAACTCATTGACCATGTCAATAAATCCCTTTGCCCAGGTAAATCTGAAATATACATTTTCCATAGTAGAACTTATGTTTGTTTTGTCTCCTTGCATTAATTCAATAAAATCAATCAATATTTTAAAATAAACATGCAGATAAAAAAAGAAAATATATTATTTGAAATATTAAGTTTCTTCCAAAAATCTGAAATGGCGCCATACATTGATTCGATAATTGGATCAAATATATATAGCATTTAAATAATGACCTAGACTATTTGAATAGTAAAATTAGCAGTCAATATAACCACAATAGTAATATAATTATATTTTCTTTTTACATTAAGTCATGTTTACACTTTATAGATTCATTAAAAAAAGGTAGATCTTCTGCGGATGTCTTTCTGTGCAGACTATACTATCGTCCGATCCTCCACTGTCCTTAAGGGTACACGTAAGGTCAGGAAACAGTAAGGGCCATGTACAGTACATGTGAGTCTCTCAAATCTATGGATCAGGTACAAAATCTCTGTTAAGCTGATACTAGTAGATGTACATATTAGTATTACAATATTTTCAATCATTGATCCACAAGACATAATTCTGAAATGAAGGAGTAGGGATGTACATGTACTGATGTAGATCCAGATCTGTTCAAAACAAAGAGACTATGGTATATTAATATATAAATGTTGCAATATTAAATATATTCCACATCCATTGTACATGTACTTTATCTACAGTTTATTGAAATTGAATAATGCAAGAAGATTCAGTTGAAAACTGTTATTTACACTGAATGACTGGCTTTTAAAAGCCAATACCAGGATAGTTTAAATAGAAAATATGTACAATATACGAACAATTGATTGGCAAACCAGTTGTGTTTACACTTTCATTTTGTGTTGAACAATTTGTTGCCAAACTGGAAAACTGCCCATTAGATACATACATTACATTATGTGCAACTTAATTAATTCCTCTATTAGTATTACAAATGGTAGCTTAGGTTTTTATTAACTTTTTTCAATTGAACATTATCTAGATTTAATTATAAGTGATTTGGCATAGCTCAAAGAATTTAGAAAAGAAGACTCGGTCATCAAAATCTTGCACAATTGTATATCTAAAAACATTTTCCATAGAATGATAAAAATGAAATCCAAGAAATGTGATGTTGTATAATGTGTGTTTAAAGTTTCATAAAGATCTTTAATGGTTTAATAGGAGATCCGCTCCGGAAACTGAAGGGGCACATTTCAATATCCTCCTCCCTATTCACATTGTACATTTAATCTAAGTTCGAACAATAGATATATATCACCAAACTTTACTTAATAGACAAATCTAAGTAGGTCATACTCGTATCTCTGATAAGGCCATAAATCAAACCTAATTCTTCCTTAATGAAAGTCAGAGAATTGGAAAAAATTGAGAGGATATTAATAGAAAGGAAGAATATTTAGATATCAATATGTGATAATAACTCTTGTATAATACCCTGTAATATTATAGAATATTAAACACTGCTTATGGCTATTCTTATAGTATGATCATACAAATAATGATAATGGACATGTATGGCAATTATAACAAATAATTTATTTATTATCAACTGATCATCCCTTATTTGTCATTGAAGTGTGGCCTGGGGGAAAAAAAGATTGTGTCGCAGTCTATAACTTGCATAGCCATGTAATGACATGTAAAGTATTTAGATTGGTTCTGGCAATGGTTTAAATTAATTAGGTCAGTGGTTCTGGTAATTGTTTAAATTAATTAGGTCAGTAGATATGTACCGGTATGTTTAGTTAGTAATACACATGATACAATTACATTTAATACATTTAATGTTAATTACTGAGGAATGTTTTGACTAGGATTCTCTAGTATTTATCAAGCAATCAAGTATTATAAGACTAGAACACATCAAATATTACATTGTACATGTACATGTATGTTCAAAACTGAATATCACTTGAGTTTCTGATTAACTCCACTGTCAAGTATTTGATCATAATGACTGTTTATAACTGCTTCTCTTGGGAAAGAAAATTTCAAGTATATGAGAAATTTGTAGATCTAGCCTACATTTACTTACTGATACTCATCTTCCTCTTTTTTCCTTGGTTGAAAATTTCTGACCAATTTTCTGAAAAAAACAAAAAGGATGGAAGTTAATATAAATTTACAATATATGTATATATACATGTATGTCAGAGAGAGAAATGGGGGTTTAATGTACACTTGACTGACTTGACACAAACTAGTTCATTTTCGCACTAACATATGGTTCAATTTTATTTCATTATTTCACTCACAAGGTTAAATTAGACAGGTGACCCTACTCCTTGTCACTTACAAATGGGCAATCGAAACCATGCCACATGACTCAATGAGAGACCTTATGATGCAATGCGCACATGTTAACCATTCGGCCACCCGCCTATACAATATGTACCAAACTGTGAAGTGGGCAATAAACTTTTTTGAGCTACTTTGTATAAACTACATATCGCTTTATAAAGACTATCACAATCCAGTGGTGGTCTGAGTCTATTTCTAGAAACTATCTCGATAACATAAGAATATCAATACTGAGTGAAATAAGATCAATATTGACTTTTAATTTGTGTTTTTAATTTAAAATGTGTTAGATGTTTAGTAGCCCCTTTAATGTAAAGTAATGAATCTAATTGTTATTATAATAATGTTGTCCATAAGATGGAACTTAATTCTTTGTAACATTGTTATAATTTTACTTATACTATAAGTATAAATGTAATAGTTACTCTTTGTAATCTGAATAGTGGGAGACAATCTAACTTCAGCTTTGGCTAGTTACTGAATACTTTTCAATAACTGTAAATATACACATGTACATGTATAATTGTATAATATTTCAATGAAGGAAATAAGTGTTTAAACAAACTTAAGTGGTTCAATCATGCCAATTGTCATTCCTGATCAGACACCATCCACATCATGAGTTAATGGGTAAACCACTTAATTATAAATCTAATATGAAAATGGTATAAATGTACAAAATTCTACAAGTACATGTTTTGCAGAGAATGTGTTGATTCAGAATCAGAGAATCAAGCTTAATTCTGTTATGAATCACAATTATACATAAACCTAAAGTACATGTAATTTAAAACGAAAATGTATGTAACTGTATTGACAAATGTGTTGAGATGCTTTGCTAACAAATTCCAAGTTAATTGTACACGTCAGAGGATTCGTCGATCATGCACAGAACATGATACACCACATAGACTCAAAATGCTGAATAATGTTTCTACCTTTAGAAAAATTGTCAATACCTACAAACATGTATATATATGACAATGTAGTCTGTATGAAATCATTCATTCTTTTTTTAATTACCATATTCTATAAGTATAACTTCTAATTTTGTTTCCCACCCTACTTTTCCCTGATGAATCTATCTCTATGTGAAAAGATGAATGAAAAGTGTAATTGTGAGACATATGATAATAATCTGTATAGATAAAAGCCATTGGTCAGCTTATACGTGCAGACATCACAGAAACTCTTAATCCTTGTGTATAGACATTATAAATTGTTTCTATGACCTATGTCCACATACAGTCAAAGGCAAGGACAATGTTTGACCAGTTATCTTTATAAATAAAGCATCAAGGTCATTTAACACTTCTCAGCATTCATTATAATATACATTGTTAACTTTTGAAACCAAATTCATTTTCGAATTCTGAGCATGTGTACATTTAAGTCTACCAACATAGATGTACCTCTACATGGATATATTTAGTAAAAAATAAATTAAAAAAAAAAAAGAAATGGGCTTTCTTGAACTGGTGGTGGCAGTGTTAATACATGTAGGAAACCAGGAAAGCAGGAGAGACAGAGAGAGAAAAATGGGGTTTAACGTCCACTCGACACAAACTAGGTCATTTCGGGACTAACATATGGTTTAATTTTATTTCAATAATTCGCTTGCGCGTAGGGGTCTTTAGCAGTGGGAGGAAACCGGAGGACCCGGAGAAAACCCACGAGGTTGGACAGGCGACCCTATTCCTTGTCACGTACAACTGGGGATTTGAAACCACACATTGGTGTTGGGTATTTCAACTGCAGTCACGCTATGATACGCATTGCAAATCCGGTGCTACGATACAATTCGTATCACAATTCATAACCAGGTCAATATTTACCATAAATAATTGATATTTTTAATTTTAATCCTGCCAATTAATGTTGAAGAAATAAAACTGTTTTATACCACAATATTGATGTGGATCAAAATAATTTAAGATTGTTTGTGTACCTATGGATAATGTGTGATGTGGATAGGTTACTTACTGAAGCGACAAAAAACAAAACTTAAAAAAATATTGCGATACATCGATTCAGTGTCTCGGGATTCAATACACAAATCGTAAAAGAATGAATAGTGATACATGTACATCGATTCAACGATATATCGTGCTAGCACTATAAAACATAAAATTGTAGATTATGACTTATGATTCCATGCACAAACCCTAGACCATTTGCAAACTCAATTGCAGTTTTTATCAAGCAGAATGCAATAAATGGATGTCATAACAACAATCTTGAAATAATCCAAAACCAGTGAAACATTTATCGATAAGCTACACCCAACATTTCCATACAAAAAATAGCTAATGATGCTTTCTTCAATACGTATTTCACATATATGTTTTATGTTTCAATCTGTTAATCAAGTCTGTACAATATGGTTTTTTTTTGTGTTATAATGAAATCTGATGCCACACAAAAGCCAGCTGGTCATACATGTATAGGAAGTTGATTAAGAGCAGTATTCTGGTTTATCTCCTGTTTCACCCTACTGTACAATAATATAAGCAACTAAATTATAAAACTCCTGTGTAAGCTTATTTCAATGATCAGAAACAAAATTATCATAAAAATTATAATCAATGTTGGTATCAAATTGTTGGTATCAAATTGATACCAATATAATTCTGAACAATAAATCTAAAAGTTTCCATTAAACAGGATGCATGGAATATGGAAAATTTCAGGTTCTGCATTGGAATTCTTGTTATTTGATGATAAATATTTACCTGTGATATGGATGTGTATGTACACGAATCTATCTAGCAACCGAATTTAATTAATTTCAGTGGAACATGCAGAGATCGAATCTGTGTTATTTACATGTGCTGTAACTACATTGTACATGTGTATTCATATGATTTTACAGGAAATAAATTCAGATTTATCATTTGAATTCCTTTTGCTACTGCATGTTTCATCTACCGCATTAACTTGGGCTAGGCTTTGCCACTCTATCTGGACACTATGCTATAGAAATGAAATGAAATGAAATGGGGTTTAACGTCCTACTGTTCTGCTCCTAACCTGGGCTAATGAAGACGGGCATACGCCATACAGTGTGCTATGAGGGAAATTTTGCCCGGGCAGCGGCACTATCGCCTACTCTTATATCGAATTCCAACTGCCAAAGGATCTTTTACGTGCATTCCAATGTTTACACGGGACCTCGGTTTTTCGTCTCATCCGAAAGACTAGACAGCTGTCCTTGTCAGGCCCTCTGTCCTGCATCACTGACAAGGGGAAACCACGTCGGAAAATCGGGATGAACTTTCTCGGCCAATGCAGGGATCGAACACCCGACCTCCAGGCTAGTGAGCCAGCACCTTACCCACCTAGCCACCGTGGCTCCGTTTCTCAATACAGTAAACCTTTTTGGTTTAAGTAATAGGGAAATAAATCAGGACATGAAAGTGATGATGGATTTAAAAAAATGCTGTAGTATTGAGATGTCGAAAGTGACCGAGTCCACTAAATATTGGAAATTCATCCAAAATTTTGCAATACATGTTCAGTATCTCTGCAGTGAAGTTTAAATATTTCAGTCAAACATGGTATATCAAATGTAGGTCATAGATTAAGTCAGTAGTGACTGCCATAATAGTAAAAAGGTTAATAATATCATGAACTTTTTAAAAGGGAAAAGTTATTCCTATTGTGCTATGTGAATGATATATATATATGTAGAAATATTTGATAAATAAGGTCAAACCACTAAACATAGGTATGTATAATATTTGTTAGAATAAATACAAAGTTTTTCCATTACAGTATGATGTATGGTAAATATACAACTACACTGTACTTGTCAACACCTACTATAATCAAGTGTCAATACCTACATGTCCCTACATGTACATAACTATAGTCAAATGTTATCCCCAAAATTAAACTTCAGATCTCCATAGGGGGGTTGGATAGCCAAATGGTTAGCACGTGCGTGCTGTATCATACGGCCTGTCATTGAGTCAACTGGCGTGGTTTCGAATCCCTGGTTGTACGTGACAAGGAGTAGGGTCACCTGTCCAACCTCATGGGTTTTCTCTGGGTCCTCCGGTTTCCTCCCACTGCTAAAGACCCCTAGTGAATTATTGAAATAAAATTGAACATATGTTAGTCCCGAAATGACCTAGTTTGTGCCGAGTGGACGTTAAACCCCATTTCTCTCTCTCTCTCTCTCAGATCTCCATTTAATATTATTAACACAAAAAGATTGAGTTTTTACAATATATACCAATCTAAAATGTGGTTCTTTCTCAACGATTGAACAGAACCTAAAATGGCCACAGTACACTATTAATTTCCCCATTGACTCTAATGTAAATTTTCATCTATTTGACCAGTATAGGAATTAATGCTGTCCTGTGCCCAAATGTGGGAATTAGCTGAGATAATGTACATGTACTATGTAGTCCTGACAGTGGATCTTTTACAAGCACTATCAGAATCACTGTGTATAAGTACACATTTCCTTGCTTGTCCAATAGGTGTTACCAATGTCTAGTGGTACCCGGGGTTTAAATATTCTTAGTTCACACCTGACTATAAATCTGTTCATGACTATCATTTCTTTACATGTTTAATACTAGAGAGAATCAGGGGTGTCGGTAATTTTTCACAGTTTATTTTGCCAAATTCGATTAGCAAATTTAAAAATTGATTAGCAGTTTTTCATAAAACACCTAAATAACAAGATATTACTTTAATTCATAACAAATGATTACATTATGTAGATTTCATTCTTCGATTTTTTTTTTAGCACTGCCACATGTAGTTGTGACAGTTTGTGAATGTGATGTAGACTTTTGGTTAGGTCTTATTTCTGAAGCCAATTCTTGGCAGTGACTTCCGAAGCCCCACTCATTTTAATTGTTATTTCTTCGTTACGTTAGAAATATTCATTAGAAAACAATTCTGTCTGCTTTTAATCGTGTATTACTATTTTTGTTCAATCAGACACACCTCGATTAACTAGACACACATGATATAAACAATAATATTTTACGGGAATTCTTACTTTGATTTATCATTTTACAATACATTATCATGTATTTATTTTTTTATATTTTATTTACAATACGTGGGGGATACACTGGAATTACTTCTTTCAAAATGAATACTGATATAATTACTTGAAATTAACATGTCTCGCAACCTGAGTGATACAACTTAATTCCTTATATCCGGTTTAATAGTCCCTATTCATAGAGTTACGTCCCTGTATTATATAGTATAATGAATTGTGTCTGGGTAGTTCGAGAAGAGGGGATCACGTGGCTAAGTGGGTAAGACGCTAGCTCACTAGCCTGGAGGTCGGGTGTTAGATCCCTGCATTGGCCGAGAAAGTTCATCCAGATTTTCCGGCGTGGTTCTCCCTTGTCAGTGATGCAGGACGGAGGGGCTGACAAGGAAAGCTGTCTAGTCGTTCGGATGGGACGAAAAACCGAGGTCCCGTGTACACATTGGCGTGCACGTAAAAGATCCCTTGGCAGTTGGAATTCGATATAAGAGTAGGCCGTAGTGCCGCTGTCCGGGCAAAATTTCCCTCATAGCACACTGTATGGCGTATGCCCGTCTTCATTAGCCCAGGTTAGGAGCAGAACAGTAGGACGTTAAACCCCATTTCATTTCATTTCATTTCAGTTCGAGAAGAAAATGTCACACACAGAATTCAGTTTAGTTTATAAAATTTTACTTGACATTTTATACACGTTCAAAATGTGGATAATCTTTGTGTCAATATCCAAAATGACAGGCATATTAATGATTCACAGTTACTGCGAATTAAAAATGTTAGATTTTAATTTTTGATTAGGAACGGACAAAACATGTATCGTAAATTGCGCTGCAATACTGGTTGTTAGCAGCCCTGGAGAGGACTATCCAGGTATAGTAATATTCCAATAGCTAGAATAAACCAGCGCAATAGATTGTAATGAGCAGAAAATATTTATTTTTACAAAACAATTCCATATTTTCCTTATTTTATAATCTGACCTTGAGAAAAGTGTCCCCTTTATAATAAAGTCAAAAGCCAACACCTGGTTTCAATTTCGGAATAAACTCACTGAATGAAATGGTACCACAAATCTACTTCAGCTACAGACTACTGAGGCTTAGACCAATTCAAATTAATTCCTTCATGCTGGTATACAAACTTATAGTTAAGGCCAGTTTCAATGTCATCACTTGACACACTTTTCTCATCAGGGATGTCTCATCAGTAAGAAGAAATGAATCAAAGAATATATCTTGAAATATGTGAGGATGTTTAGTACTCACATGAACAAAATTGAATTTTATGGGTTGGTGGTAAATTCTTTCTAAATCCCTTTGCCCTTTCAGGTCAATAGACTTAACAATTCTAAATAATCTGGACCAAGGAATTTCCAAGGATATGATCTCTTTTGACCAGGAGGGGAGGGGAAGCTACACTATCTACACATTTTATTTACAACAACCACAATTCCACTACGTGCTAACTCAACTGAGGTCCGTCTGTGGTCTGCAAAATGACCATATTATTATCAAAACTGACCAGATCTAGATAAAGCATTGCAAGATATAAAATATTTTTATTTTTATTTTTAATTAAAGTTGAAAATACAAGAAACATGCAAAGTTTTTGGTTTGTCCTTATGAAAGACCAAGAGACCAACTAAAAAAAACAATAGAAAATGGTCATATATACATTTGTAGGTCTGCAATTCATTAATGGTTCAACCCATTTTCAGAGGTGAGGCCAGGGGATAACATCCTTATAAAACTCAACTTTCAGATAAGCTACTTCAACTCAGTGATCTATATTTCAGGAAAGTAAACAAAAAAAAATTTAAGCTACGCACTTATTAACAAAAACAAACTTTTTAATAAGTCATGCTAAAACTTCTACATATTTTACAGATCACAATACCTTTAGTCATAGAATAGACTCTTCTAAAAGGGCTCAATTCTAACCCATGTTGTTTAAATTCCTTTGTTTCAAGGATTTGCTGGTACCAGAAGAGTGTTTAATGCAACCTATGCAGATTTCCTCAGCGATCTCAATCATTTTAGTGCACAAAAGTTGCATGCTAGGGTTATTGTTTATTGTGTAAATAATAACACAACAGTGTTTGAGAAGAAAGGCTGTTTGTATACAATATGCAATGCCTGACAGATTAGTTGTGTACTGAAGAAAAGTTCTCAAATTTTATTCTGCTCTCCAAGGGACACAATGACTTCTTTCAATGTAAAATGGGTGCTTATTGCCAGTGTGATTTCAATAAGTTTGGTTGTAGTGTCTGGACAAGCATGTGTACGAGTTGAGGTTCCAATGTGTAAAGGACTCATCAACTATAATTTTACACGCCTTCCAAATAAATTTGGTCACACAACTCAGTCAGAAGTCTACTGGGCATTACAGCAATGGTGGCCTTTTATGGACATGGGCTGCTCCCAAAATTTGCGTCTAATGATTTGTGGATTATATTTACCTAAATGTACAACAGGTAAGAATGGTAGACAATTTACTTATATTTATATGTAAAAATTAGCATGAAAAATACTTTAATTTAAAAATTTAGGTTATTCAAACAAGTACATGTATAGGCCTATAGGAACTCTTCTCAAATGACCTAATAATAATTCAAATGAAAATATAGGAATCGAAGCATTAAGAGTGGATGAAAATTAATTGTATTTATTTTATTAATGTATTCTTAAATACTGTAATTTACGAAACAATTAAATATCAGACTTTCATTTAGGTAACAAAATATTTTATTTGACAGGTTCAACTACAGTCCAATTACCATGCCGAGAGACATGCAGACGTTCCAAAAATCGTTGTTCACGAGAAATGCAGCGCCAAAATTTGCCATGGTCTAGTCAATTTCGCTGTTCTCAATTCCTGCCCAAAAGATCAGGTAGATGTGTAGGACCGTTAAAAGAAAAGAAGAAGAAACAATCTAGACGTCGCCATGTTTCTTGCCAGAGAAACCATCTACCAATGTGTTCTGGTATTGGGTACAGGTTTGGTTCCTTGCCCAATATGTTTCTTCAATCAAACATTCGTGAAATGAAGACGGAGATGGCCCAATATCAGCCTCTGATTGATACCAACTGTTCACCACATTTAAAATTCTTTCTCTGTGGTGTTTTCATGCCTTTCTGTTTGAAACAGGAAACAGCAGAATGTGAGGTGCCTTTTGTTGTACCGTGTAGGGAAGTTTGTGAAAGTGTCCAGACAAGCTGTGGACAGATCTTTGAAAGACAAAGAGGTGGTCTCCCTTGGCCAGGAAAGTTTCATTGTCATAGGTATCCATCACGAGATTCTACCAGAAGTCCAAACGACTGTAGTGTGTCATGTGTTATGCCAAACTGAAGTGAACAATATTGACTGATTGACATGTATGTAAGAACTGACTTGTATTAAATTTTGTCAATCATTACATGTACGTCCTGAATTTCAATTGTGAGAAATCTAAATTTCAAAGAGATTTTCTATTCTACAAGGGTCTGTGGAAAAGAACAAATTAATGTTGATGTCTATCAAATTGAATTATTTCTTAAAATTATTTCATGGGCGCTGCTGCGCTGCTGCCCAATTAACATTCTGTATCTTTTTTGAAGGTACCATTTACATGTACAAGCAATAAACAGCATTTAGACCTTTTTGTTTTCTTTGCTCAGTATCATCACTGCTTTCAGTTGTTACATGTATTTTCATGGAAATAATGAATAATCATTCTTATATAAGAAAATGTTCACTAATAATTTGCACATATGTCCTGAACTTTTTTAAGTACATGTACAACAGCATCTTCGTAATGTCATCATCATCCCTAAATACATGTATTACCTCAATTGAGCAATTAAGAAATACTTTTTGATAATTATCAGACTTGTCAAACTTGGACAGGGGCTTGTCGTGCCCTCTAATACAGTCGCCAAATACATGTACATGTATGCTTAAAGCGGAAATTGCAAATTTTTAGGTTATATTTTTTAAAATTTATTAAAATAAAGCCTGAAAATAGATGGTATCCATAAACAGTCCTACATGTACCTTGTTAAAGAATAATCCTATTAATCCTGTAATTCACTATTGCCAGCTGAGAAATTGGCAAAAATATCATTTTTCTCTTCATTTTCAAACGTTTGAATATCGCTACTCCATGGTGGAGAATAGAAAACAAGGGAGGTAATTGGGAGGTAATTGTGTTATTATTTCCTGTCTAAATGAATCTTAAGTGTGAGAATGACACCTATTATCGTATAATTGTAAGTTGACAACCTATTGAGCAAACGACATAGAAATAATTACGTTTTGACTTTCTTAGAAAATTTGCAATTTCCGCTTTAATTGTACATGTAATTGGGTTTTATTTATTTGTCTCTATCAATCCATCCAGGTTTTACAAAATTCCTATGGGAACATTGTCCTGTATCACATCCACAAGCTGTTAAAATGTGAACAGAAAGATGACTGCAAAATGTTTGACATTTATTTTACAACCAGAAATTCCCCCTTATTCCCCATTGAAGTGACTCACCAACTTTTCAAAGTATTGAACTATGAACTCTGTTCTGTACTGCATTCAAAAGATTTTATAAAATTAAACCTATCAAAGTGTGCGAATAAAATTTGATTTAAAATATTAAATGTACCCAATCTATATACATGTATATATACAGTACATGCATAGACATTGTACTTCCATAAATAATGATCAAGAGCTTTTAGAAGAGGAATCAGGAAGTATCAAGGTACATGTACATATTAACTGTAATTATTATTATGAAGAACATAGATTAACATATGTCATGGGACAATATACTTACTTTAAACTACGAGCATAATCCAATTCTATTGTACATCTCTCCTTTAAAAAATGTGTAAATTTTTCATTAAACTCAATACCACGCTGTGTATGATGGGCTATGGTGTCATACTGATCCTGAAAAAGAAATTATATTTGTTGAGCAAAACAAGCCAACAGTGAGGCTGATGTCCCCCCCCGCCGCAATCCCCCCCAAAAAATAGATGACAAAACTTAATTAAGCTTAGTCTAAATAGAAAAATGTTCACGATCGAACTTAGTCATGGTTTTGAAGTACCTGGTAGTGAAACTATACACTAGTTACAGGTACAGGTAGAATCAAAGTTACATGTATCTTGTATTTACGCATTGACCAATTAAATTGCTTAGCTCTGCTTAGCTTAAGAGGAAAATGTTAATCATTGAACTCATTCAAGACATTCACCTAATGAACATCTACACAAGTTCAAACATTCTAACATGCTTACTGCAAATTGCTTAGTCAAGTCATCCTCACTCAATTGGAACCAAAGTTATTGTGTTCCAAACTCTCATCCAATCAAATTGCTTATCTCTGCTTAGCCTTAGTGGAAAATGTACATGATCGAACACTGTCAAGGCATTCATTTAATAAACATCTACATGTACATAGTGTATCAAGTTTGAACATTCTACCTCAATTAGAATGTACATGTAGTTACATGTACATGCATTGTGTTCCAAAGTCTCGACCAATCACTTAATTAAAATTCATGTTATCGAGCTCCAAAGTCCCAACCAATCAAATTGCTTAACTAACACTCTGCTTACCATGAGCAGAAATGCTCATTATCGATCTTAGTCAAAGGTATTGATATAATGAAACTATACACCAAGTTTGATCACTCTCACTTTAATCAGAACTAAAGTTATTGTGTCCGAAAGTATCAACCAATCAAACTGCTTATCTTCGAACTTCATCAAGGCATTCACCTAATAAACACCTACACCAAGTAGTTTGAGCAATCTAGCTGAATTAGAAGGAGAGATATTGTATCCAAAAAAGTGTGACCGATGAACAGATACACGGATGGACAGATCCATTTTAATAGTCCCCTGTATTCTTCGAAAGGCTGGGGACAATTTTCAGATAGAGTATTTATAATTAGATAATGCAATTTAGATGATACTGTACAATACCATCAAGATTAGACTAGCCCATTTGATCAACAATAATAATTATTGCATAATAATTTACTAGTTATTAAACTTAAAATGGATGAACATCTTTGATGTGGGTGCAAAAAAAAGAAATTCTCATTTCTTTAGATTTTATATGCTGAATTGTTTTGTAGGATGACAAAATTTGAAAATTTTAAGTCAACATATAAAGCCAAAAATAAGATATAACCGGTTTTATGTTCCTCTCTCGATCAACAGATACATGTAACACAGTCAGCTTAACCTTTTTTGAAAGTTTATTTAAATCATAGGCTCATACATAGAGATTGCCCCATCACTAAATGGAATAAGTAATGTAACCAAATTGACAGTTCCACCAGTGATGTCATGAAAGCAATCTTTAATTTTGTGTAGTGCTTCAATAGGCATGTTTATAACGATTTTAAAAGTTGATTCTTGTACATGAAGAGCTGTCATCATTATCTATTGTTTCAATACAGAAATAGGAGGACCATTTTCTTTCAAAATAGAGATTAAAGAATGTCGCTAGTGTTGCTATAATAGACAGTCTATTGAATGATATATTGAGTAAAAGATTCCTCTTATAATTGTGTAAATTACTGCAACAAAAACATAAAATCGGTTGTGTCATAGTTTAAATTTTGTCCTCTATATACTAATCCTCCATTGAAGGGTCAACAATTTTTCAACATGAAGAAGATCGTTGAGTCTGTGTGTTTAACCACTGGAGACAGAAATTCCTCCGTAAACAATTCGTAATCTTTTTTCCTTCAACAACTCTGACTTATAATCCAAGGCTACATGTATCCTCCACACCCAGACACTTTACATTTTCTTCTATCACTTAAGATTTGTTGTCATGGTTATTTTCACACAGTAGGGTTGGGGTTAATCTTACCAAAATCACCCCTTACTACCTCCCTCGTCACTTTTTGTGACACCTGTGTCAATGATACAAATAATAATATACTGGTAGTCCTCTGCATAACATGTAAGATGCTTTAAATTTTAAATGACCCAAATTAAATGAAGAAAGACACAGCTGTGAACTTATCACGTGGTTTTTCACATTTTCTTAGTGTGCCGTTCAAAATTTCGCAGCACACCTAGGAAGATGTGGCAGTACACCTGTGTTCTGGTTGAGAATCCTAAGTATACTATGTAGTATGTACATGTAAACTAACATGATAGTACTTTCTAGCCATCTACAATGTACATGTAAATCATATAATGTACATGTACATGTAGATACATATACATGTATTGGGCGATTAAATCACTTGTCCTAACCGTGGAATTTCAATGGCCATAGCCCAGAAGCTGGTGGAGGACATAATTTTTGCCCATAAAAAGTTAAAACAAGATTCATTTTATGTCTAAAATATTTAAAAGAAACTAGTTCACAAGTCTGAAATTTTTCTAAAGAATCCAGTCCACAGGATTAATTCTATAATATATGCATGTCTGAAAGATACTCAAGTATCCACTTCCCATTTTGATACATCAGCATTAGCCAACATACATGTTATATGTGAATATGGTGCACCTTATATATCTTTAAATTATTCAATGAGAAAAAGTTTAACATGTCTTGCATATTTGTATGTATGTTTAAATACTTTTAGTAAAAATGTTGATTTGCTACAGCTGGATGTTACTGGTACAGTTTTATCAGACGATGGTAAGAGTTACAGTATGATTATACATGATAAATATTACACCTGTGGTTCTTCTAACTATTACCTAGATCAACAAAAAACAAACTAACAAGAAACAAACAATATAGATACCTAAACTAAGATCCAACAAGATGGTGTTGTCACAGTCTATACACATCTCTTAAAGATATGGGACAGTAAACAATTTACTAAACAAACAATAGACCAGAAACAATGACAAGAAGATTAACCTAGAGATATCACCTCATAAACAATTTATGCATGTGGCTACTGTACCACTAGCTCTTCCATCCTACTTTAATGTTCTACTTTCTGCACAAACAGGGGAAAAGAATATTGGATGTACTTTCAACAAAATTCTAAAATGGATATCTGTCCAAAAATGGTTAAATTAAATTTACAATGATATGTAATGAATTGAACGTTTTGAAACATTTGGCATCCTCTGCAGATGATAGAAACACGCCTACATGTACATCACCTACATGTACATGTAATGTATAATAAGTGTTGAGCAAAATCTTTTGATTGGCTTCATTCAAATCTGATTAACGGGGTATTAAGCAAGATTAGATAAAGAGCTGACAGTTCTCGCTATAATAGTTAAAAACTAGATAATGAAAACAAAATATATCTAAAAATTTCAGTCAAATTGCTTCACTCTGAACTAAAATATTTGCCATTTATTTCTAGGCTAGTCTCTGTCATCATTACCGAGTTTGGTATGGTTGATTATGGTCTGGATAGGTTAATTATCTACATGTAGCATACTTTCTGTCAACTCCTAGTTCTGTCAATAACATCAAATCAACCAGATATGCAAGTACTTTAACTCAAAACCCATCAGAACCACACTCATGTGCACATGAATATTAAAATCCACATTTAGTAACTCACCACCAAACGTACATGTAGACCCATTAAATAATACCGACAATTAGATTAGCCCATAAAATCAATTTATTTGTATGTCATCTTCATGGAAATCAGCTGTCACATGTCAACATGTAGTGCAACATACAAATGATTTTAATCAGGCTGAATTGTAGCCTACATGTACATTTACTTAACAAATTATTTTAAATAAAAAAAAAAAGAACCCACTTAACAAATCATTACTTGCACTTGACATTGGAACACTAGTGCATGTACATATCTATAAAGTTTATAATTAACTAAGATGTTTGTATAAAATTAATATAAAGGAACAAAGTACTTCATTCCTGACCAGTATGTTAGTAATTATAACTGAGTTAAACATGAAGTAGTTAACCCTCTTTGTTAAAGTCAAAATAAAGTGTGTTGAATTGGTTGATCTGATGTGTTAGCTCAATAAAGTAATGACACAACACCTACAATACAAAACAAGAAATGATATGATCTCCTTACAAATTGAAAACATAAATCCCCAGATCTATAATCCTGGCAATTATCAATTACTCACAGTAATAATCTGGCCAAATATTTTAAATTTCATTATTTCTTAACAATGACTGTACTACTTTTTTTCAAAGTTTTTTTTTAGAACAAGCTATAGAGTATGTATATGTGCTAATTACAACCTGTGACATTGTGAAGAAATCTTGGCAATATTACATATAGATGTTTATAAAGATATTAATTGATATGATACCACAAACATGTACAAATAAACAAGTCAAATTTAATAGTACATGTAAACCTTATCCGATATTATTAGTAACCCTTACTCCTTTTAAAAAATTAGTCAGCAAACACCGAAATGGTGAATATTTCTATTTAAAGGAAACTTTTCTTTTAACTCTCTGTCTCTATTTAATAGGATAAATCAAATCATTAGTCTGATCCCTACACGCCTGCGTGCGTGCGTGCGTGCGTGCGTGCGTGCTTCACTACAAATGATTGACAAAAAAAGAGTTCCTATGGGATGACCATGTCAATTACCTGTATGCATCGTAACATTAGAGTTTCTTGATTGAGATGTATTGGATTTGAAATCAAACTGCAACAATCTACATACACTATATACTTTGATTATTAATCGAGACAAAAGAAATTATTATATTGATCAATGGGGGGACAACAACAAACCATTATCAACCTGGAGTATTTCCAGTGATGTATACATATAACAACATTTTCTTATGTACAGAAACTATGCAACTCTATAAATAGAAAGTCAAACTAATTTAAAATACCAAGAAGTAACCACACACATGACTGTTACATGTACAGTTTCAACATTACAATTTACAAGTCTATATTTTTGGTGTAACAGGCTGACCTTAACACAAAAAT